AGGATATGAAGCCATGAACAAAAATTATAGAGGCCTGTTTTTTTGTCTCCTTCGGTTGGTGTGAGCGCGTATGGCACCATTTCCTATCGACATGGATCGAAGCGAGCAGCACGCGTGTCGTCTTCAAGCATTCTGCACCCGCATACATTATCCGCGACTACAGTATCGTGTCTGGTATTCTATGTGTGTTAGCCCCTAAACCTGCTACAATTCGGTGTCAGTTGTCTTTTGAAAGTATCATGCCCCTGAATTACTACCTGTTGGTTCTAGTCTCCTCTCTTATGTCGCGTCGCATCGCATCGCAATGACTACAACGCGTGCTTGCTCGGGTGCACACTGATTTAACTGATCTCATTCCAAACTTCACTACCTCTGCCCCCCATACACAGACATGGATGTTCGACGTTGTATGTTCAGGATCGGTCACGCCTTAAGGCCATTGCATTAATCGAATCGGCGTACCAGGAAGAGATCCTGAACGCCTAAGATGTATCATAATTGCTGACGAACCCAGTTTTTGATGCATGAAGCAAGAGTCGGCGGTGCAAGAAGCAAGAATACAAAAGTACTGCACAATAAAACTATTTTACCAAACTGTGAACCATATTATCCACACTATAAGACTGAATAAGTTGAAGGCAAAGTATTTTCCCATGTCATGAAGATTAGCATTAAGCACACCCCTAATGGATTTACGCTTCGCACTGTATCCTCACTCTCTTTTTCTCTAGATCCCGGTAGCCTAAATATGTATACGTTCTTTCTCTCTGTCGCATGCTCGCTTGTCTCTCTGTCGCATGCTCGCTTGTCTCTCTGTCGCATGCTCGCTTGTCTCTCTTTCCTTCAAACCTTAAACTTTAAATAATGTGGAGATCTGCACGTCCATATCGGTAGTAAAATACCTCCTGACCGAGCCAACATGGCTATCGCTCCCGAGAATGGCGATGCCTCGAAAGACGTGGACGAAATCCTAGAATTCCGCAATTCTAGATACATATTTGCAATTCCAGATGCATATCCGCCTGTGAGGCTCTCTTGAGGATTTTTTGCCTCCCCACTGCAAGGTCACGCCTCAAACATCGTACGATTGCAGGTTCACGTTGAGGACAGGCACAATATTATTTTCAACGGTCGGCAGCCTCCAGCGACAATATTGGAGGAAAGAAACAACGGTACGAGCCTCATGGCATGGTTTAAGTTGAACAGGTGCCATTCGGAGGCCAGACAGTGCTTCTACTCCGAGATCTCCAAGCACTACACATGGGGTAATAGCGGTCATGCTTGGATCGCCAGATGAAACGGAGTCTCGAATACTATCGGCTGACTGCACTATGCGACCCCGAACTTCGCGAATAAAGTCGATCGCGGTCGGTACTGCTTACGCCTTTTGCTCCTGCACGTTAGCACGTTAGAGGAGCAACCAGTTCCAAAAATCTTCGCAAGAACCTGTACACAGGAGAGATTTACGCCACTTACTGGGGGGCCGCCAATGCGCGTGGGTTGCTGGAGGATGGTTTAGAATGGCGCCGATGCCCTGAGGAGGCTGCAGGTCACCAAAGTCCGGCGGCGTTGCGATGTCTTTTTACCATGATTTTGCATCTTTGCAGCCCGTCCAACCCTCTTGAACTGTGGCAAGCTTTTGCCAAAGACCTTCCTGAGGGTTCTCTGTATCATGCTGGGGATCGCCCGAACGGTGAAGAGGACGCCAGGAGTACTGCACTGTTTCACGTCAACAGGGTTTTGAAAGGAGCTGGGACCAGTCTGGCTGTATACAAAGAGATGCCTCGAGACTTTCGCAACCTCATCAATCGCCAACCCAACAATGACGAGCTTGGATAATATGCAGAAATCGACACTGAGGCACTTGCAACTAAGGCGGCTCATGACTTGGACCTCTGCAACGACGATCAATAGGCGCTGTACGCTGCAATCACAGCAGCGCTGGGTAACAAGGACGAAGGTGCGATAAAGATGTTCTTTATTGATAGACCATGAAGGACGGGCAAGTCTTTTTTGTGCAACATTTTGATTGCCTGCATTCGAGGAAGGCGCGAGAAGGACGTGATCGTAGTTGCCCTCATGTGGAATTGCTGCTCAGGTCCTGACAGGAAGTCACGCAGCCCGCTCGACTTTCAAAATCCCGTTCCAGATCATGGAAAGCTCAACGTGCAGTATTCCTGTGGAGTCAAGAATGGCAAAAAGGATTCAAAAAGCAGAAGCCATCTTTTGAGAGGAGGCGCCGATGCACCACCGACATATCCTCGAAGTAATGGATGCCACATTCCGAGACATCATGCGGAAGCTAACCATCCCATTTGGTGGCAAAGTCATTGTGTTTGGAGGAGACTTTCTTCAAGTCTTGCCTGTAGTACCTCGAAGAATCCTTAGCCAAATCGAAGATGCCTGCTTCAAGAGCTTTCGAAAGATCTGGTCGCACGTACAGACATTGTCCCTTAGAGAGAACATGCGAGTAGGGGGATATCCGCTCAACCAGCCTTTTGCACAATGGCTGCTCAACATTGGCAATGGCACGGAGTCAACAGTGACTCCAGGACTCTACGATGATTTGGTCATGATTCCAGACCAGTTTGTCTTCAACCCACCCGGCCCCGTCACCAAGGACAACCCTCCCGAAAAGCAGTTCATCAGGGAGATTTACCTCGACAGTGAGACCGCCCCCTTGCAGCCAGCCCTTTTGGAAGGTCGGGCTATACTGACGACACTGAATGCCAACGTTGACAGAGTCAATGCCATGGCAACCCAGATGGTTTTTAGTGGGGGTCAAGGGGAGAGACAGGTTTACCGCAGCCAGGATAAAGTAGCGGATGATGTCAACGGCGCCGCGTATCCTGTAGAATACCTGGATTCTCTCAATCCTCCAGGTATGCCTCCCCACGAGTTGCTGTTAAAGGTGGACCAGCCTATCATTCTCCTTCGAACCATGGACGGCAAATCCGGTCTCTGCAATGGGGCCCGTCTGATTGTTCGAGCACTCCATCGGAAATACATCAATGCCGGGATTCTTAAGGGTGACTTCAAGAATCGAACGGTGCTTATTCCGCACATACCTCTCACAACCCTGGGCGACGGATCTACGCCAATCAAGTTCATTAGGATCCAGTTTCTTGTCAAGCCTGCGTTTGCCATGACCATTAACAAGGCGCGAGGACAAACACTTGACCACGTTGGTGTTTACCTTCCTCAGCACGACTTTGGCGCCGGGCAGCTGTATGTCAGCTTCTCGCGTTGCAAACACCGAGACAACCTCAAGGTTTTGGTCGAAAATGGATTTTTCGTCTCGGACCCGTGACGTATGCCACGCGCAGTTCTGCTAGTTAGTTCTATTTACAATAGAAGATATCACGCGAATAGGACTTCGGCGAGGGCGTGCTTCGGTCACTTACTGGTTCGCTGTGCAGGGTCCTTTAGATCGGAATGTATTAACACAAAAGTAAAATAAACTAGACGAAAATGGAAGGAAATAAATATGAGGATCTGTTTAGCTAAATGGGGCATTTTTGGAGACAATTTTATTTATGAAGGTTGCTCCTTAACCTCTCTTATTCACGATATTTGCCCTCTGTTATCACTTCTGAGTGCAAAAGAGAGGGATCAGAATGAGGAATTTGCCCATCTTTGTTTTTTGTGGGTTCCGACAACATTGTCACTAATCCCACGCTTGAATGAGTGGGAGGCGTCTGAATTGATGAGACATTTTTCATTGTTGCATCCACTTAATGCGAATGATGAAGGGATGGGGAAAAAAGTAGATGTCGATAACGATCTCCGTCTAGTTTCTCTTTTTCATGTTAACAGGGGGGAGGGGGGTCAACATCAATGTTTTTTTTTGTAAATAAGGAGAGAAAGGTGTTTTCGTACTATTCACGTATAAATTTAGACCACATTTTTGCCCGGTTTACAGAGTAAGGGATAATGCCGTTTGACGATGGTACGCCGATGACGGATGCTCAATGAGACGACGGGGGGTCGGGGAAACGTTGCAATTGACAGTGCAAAGGTGGCGAATAATCAAGCTTGGCAGTCCCTGTTGATTGTATCTCGTTGTGTGGGTTGCTGACGACGGTAGTCAATACCTGTCGATAATGCGGTGTTACCCGGACAATCTGGACGAATGCAAGATGCGATACAAGATATATATGTGAAGAAGAAACTGGTTCGAACCAGACCGTTTATTCTTTTATTCTGGGGCGATGCTTTTCCCCGTAATTTAATAGCAATTTTACGAGACCAGCTAAATGATTCAAGTTTACCATATCACAATCCCAGACCACCATCGAGCAAAAGTTTCCATAGGCTTTAGTCCTTCAAACTTTGAAGGTTGACCGCACTACCTGACTGGTTTCCCTACCCTCCATTGCATCCCTAGCGACCTATCTGGATTTGCGCCTGCCTCGCGTACGTTGGAAACAGCGATGATGGCGATGTGGGTGAACATCTGTGTCAGGCCGTGGCAAAGCTACTTGTACAACACTGATCGCGCTTCGTGTCAAGCAACCAACATCCATCAGTGCGATGGCTCTTTATCAAAGCATTTTTTATTGTGGTAAAGCCTTTTTTTATTGTAGTAAAGCCATTTTTTATTGTAGTAAAGCCTTTTTTTATTGTAGTAAAGCCTTTTTTTATTGTGGTAAATCCTTTTTTATTGTGGAAAGCAGATATTGCTTCTCGCCTATAAGTATTCTGCCACACACTTCACAGTTCTCTTCGCCACACTTTTCTTTCACCTTTTCAGCCTGCCACACAGTTCACAACCATCTTCTCGCACCTTTTCCTACCTTTTTCTACCTTTCGTTCATCATCCTTTCTCCTCATCGCTCTTCGCCCGCAGTTCGCCATCCATATACACCTTCACACTAGATACCATACGTCTGTAGAAAAGGTAATGTACCCTCCAAGCCTATCCTTCCATATCTTCAGCGTCCTTACGAGAGAGCTTCACTAACACTGCTAAGCTATCAACCCACCATAGTGATCACAGCATGGGCATAAGAGGCTTTTACAGTACTCTGAAGAAGCGCGGTTTGGATCCAGTTGCCGCGGATCCTCAAGATTACCAGAACCAAGCTATTGAGGTTGACCTCTTCGGCGCGTTTTATGGATCCCTCGTTCGCCAGATCACGGATGATTACGACCCAAGCAAGGTCCGAACTGTCGGTCTCGCAGTGGCAGCGCATTTGGCAAAGGACTTTACCCTTGCGCAATGTACGATTCACATCGATGGTGCTCCATCCCAGCAGAAGCCATCACAGCAGAAGCGGAGCGAGCACATCAGGCGAAAGAACAGACTGACAGCGGACTTCAAGAAGTTGCAGGCGAACTTGAAAGTCATGAGCACGAAGTCGTCGAACCGCCAATGGACCTCGAAGAGCGTGGTAACGAAGATCAAGAAGGGCCTCCGTGATTTATATAGATTTGATAAGGCTGCCAAGCTGACACTCCGGGATGCCTTACAAGAAAAAGGGTTTTATGTCTGCACTTGCAGGACCGAGGCCGACACCTGCATTGCACTTTTTTTTTTTTTTTTATTGACGCCAGATCCCCCCAGGCGTGCAGGCGTGCCACAGGCTGCATTGTCCAAGCCTCGGCTTGGACTGTCAGCCGGCCGATAGTTACCTAAAGATAGCTATCAAGAGGCCCCCACTAAACTAATGTAAAATGAGGAACCATATACCTATGGTGCACATTCTGAGTCGTATGGTTTCTAATACTTGAGCCGGGGCCCAAAACCGCTACGCAACCTGTCGGGTCCGATGGGTCCTCTCCTAGTCAAGATCACGGGCCAATATGAATTTTATCCTCCTTCCTCTCTCCATCTCGTTCAACACCACCTTTCCCTGGAGATGGTCCACCAAGCGGCTGTCTGCTCTCCTCCTCGCCGCTGTCGTAACCTCCTCTTGGGGCTGTTGTCTCACAAAGCCCTGGGCCTCACCTCCTACCTGGACCCCGGCTTTCTTCATCCTCGTGCATATGCCCTCGGACTTTTCCCATGCCACTGTGGCACTACATCGCTCTTTCCATAACTCCTCTCGGCCAAAAGCCTCAACTCGTTCTACAAAACGTCCAACCAGGTAAGCCGCGATGCTCTTCGACGTCTTCAAGAGTAGCGCCCAATCCGTTGTCAGGAACTTTGGTACGAGCCCGTGGTATATGTCTGTCGTTGTCCATAGCCTGGTAGGCGGTGCTGCCTGCTGTACGTTTTCTTGACTGCTCACTCCTTCTCCTTCTTCCTCATGGACATTCTCTCTGTCCTCGCCACCATTGTCCCTGTCTCGCCGCTCCTCCAGCAGCCTTATCCAGTCATCATCTCGCGTATCCACCATCGTTTCCACTCCCCGGATATCACGCAGACTCCACCAAAGGGTGTCTAACTCGCACGGGGTAAAACTCGGTTCGGTGCGTGTGAATTGTCGACCATCCTTGATTGCCTCCTCCATGTCGCACAACCACTTTTTCCTCGCCTTATCTACCAAGGTGCGTCCAAGACTTAGAACCCCATCTAGTGTCTTTCTTCATTCTTCCTGTCGTCTGTTCTGTGTGACTCTGCAGACCCAGAGGTGCTGGGCATCCTCCACCATGGTAAGGCACACTTGGCATCTGTCTGTGGTATACAGATTCGGCTTCCACCTGTGCATGTACTGCATGGTTGGCAGCATACCATGGATTTTCTTGATCCTGTGGGATCGATGGTTGCAATCCGCAAGGCTGGTGAAAAAACTCCCTGGCGGATTTTTCTCATGTATTATAGCAAGGCTGGATCGCCACTCCACTTCTTCCCACTGCTGAATAAATTGTTTCGTTCGTTGTTGACAAGTCCATGCATGATGGTTTCTGGCTGCAGACTGATGCTTGATCAATTGTCGAATGTCGTCCTCCGCTGGCTGACCACAGAAAGTCGTATGTGTCTTCATGCTCGTGAAATATTGTGTGTTCAGTTGCCATGGCCGTCGCCCACTGTCGTGTGCGTTGTCCGCCAGTTCGTCGGCGGCCTCATTTCCAGTATCGCCACTGTGTCCTTTAACCCACTGAACATTTACTTTGCTGCCCTGCTGCGCGTACGCCTCGTAGATCACAGCCCACCAGTTGGCATATGCTGCTCTCAACCGCCGTCGTGGAGTAGTTGTATGTCGATTCTTAACTAACGCCGCAAACTGTTGGACCGCTGCTCTATTGTCGATATGAATAATGGCGTTGCGATCCCGGGGACAGCACAGAATTGTCGCGAGCAGACCCACCAGTTCTGCTTTGGTGGATGATGCGTAATCCGTCGTTGTACCACAGATAGCCGTCTGAAATGAGCCGTCGACGCATCTATAGGCACTACCGAACGATTGGCTGACTGTGTCCGAGCCAGCGTTCTTCACTGATCCATCCGAATAAAGGACAATTGCCTCCAGCCCAGGCGGGATCCTCCATCGAGTCTCACGGATCGTTTGCCATGTCTCCTGGTCAATATCAACCCATGGGAAATCGATCATTTGTGCTGGTGGAGCCAAGGACGCGAGCGCTGCCGCATCCTGAATGGTAGTTGGCTGTGAATCCATGTCCTTGAGTGCTGCTTTTTCCATTTCATGTACCTTCTGGTCCTCATCCATGCCATTATATTTTTCACGTCGCTGTCGCTGTCTATATTCCTTGAGTCGGACCGCGATATTGTACGTATGCAAAGCATCCTCAGCAGTACGCCTCGCTTGTCTGTCCTCGGTCTCCGTGAGGGGCCCTATCACCTCTCGCAGGATTTCTTGTTGTGGCGGGGGTACAACTTGGTCAACACAGCGAGGGCAGTCGTGTGCGCACTCGCCTATCCTGCATCGTTCTGCTGCAATCCACTGGCTGATAAAGCTACGCCGGTGATCGTCGCCTGTGATCCAGGACTGGAAATCATGAAACCATTGTCTGGATGGCCCTTTGACTCGTTGCTGCTTGCGAAGGAAGGACCACGACCGCACCTCCAATCCTTCACCCATGATCTGATCTGTTGAAAAAAGACCAACACTCGCAAATCCTCGTGCGATTTCCCCTGACGGCTGCGTGCGCCAGTCCATGATGCTCCGTGCTGTCGGAGGGACGCCGAGAGCGTCAGCATGCCGACACCTGCATTGCACTGTCAGAGTTTAGCTCTGATTGGTATTGTCATGTGACGCTAGACGCGTCTAAGAAAGGATCAACGTCGCCCTCATCACAGAAAGCTCCATGATGTAAAGATGAGCAAAGGCAGCACCGAAACGTCTAGAACCATGGATCACTAATCAGGACCTTTATTCGTCTGATGTATATAAGGAAGGACAGACTATGTAGTTGAACCCCAGTTCATATACTCACAACAGTCTAGTCAATAAACAATCGTCTTCATACATTCGTCTTTGTTGACTCACCTTGTTCACTCGTCTCCCCTCGTTTCCACCTCGTTGTTCCTCGCTCTCCCACAAGTCTTACACTGACCATGGCAACCGGTCACTTCGTGGTGTCAGCCGATTCCGATCTATTGATATATCCGTCGATCACCAAGGTTTTGCGGCCGATCTTCCACGGCCTGGCCTATGCGTTGTACACCAAGGAGAGTGTTACCAATGCACGTCAGGTTCCCAGTGCAGACTATGTGACATTGCTGGGCATCGTGTCCAAGAATGACTATACCGAGAACATTCCCGGCCTTGGAATAATTCGCAACCTGGAGACCATCCACGCTCTTCGTCAGTCGCCCGATATCCGCCAGATGCTCAGTGCTTACAGATTCATGGCAGCCATCAAACCCCGCGAGACTATGGACCAGTCTCGATTCAAGCCATCGGAAGACACTTTTTTGGATCTCAAGGAGAAAGTGCTTCAACTGCAGCCAGGAGATGAGGCCGCCGATGAGGACATGCTCGGCTTTGATTTCAACATTGCATTGCCGCAGTTCTGGCACGTCAAGGTGCAACGATTTGCCGCCGCTGCATATCAGCATGCGAGTAGAAGGTAATTCAAGTGCAACACCGCTTCATTCACGCACGTGCTGTACAAACAACACGTTCTCTAACACCTTTTGCATGGCGATACATGCGTGTACTTATTAGTGCGGTTCCCTTCTACGTTGTGAGGAACTCAAAGCGCAACCAGTTCCGGCCGATCTTTTCAGACAAGAAATTGATCCTACCACGACAATCAATTGACTTCTCGACTACCGTATCTCACGGTCGCCCGCAGTCAAAAGCAAAACCCCCCGTCAAGGCTCAGAAGGCGGTCGTGAAGAAGAAGAGCAAGAAAAAGAAGAAGAAGGGGACACTGCCGAGGAAACGGAAAGGAGTGGGCTCCGCCGACCCATCGAACCCAAGGCCCACTTCTGCAACCGCAGCGGACCGTCGCCTCCGCAAGCTGCATATAACCAAGGCACTCACTGTGGGGAGTATCCAGGCCAACATAAAGCGAATGGATCAGACCTCGGTTGCAGAAAGCAAGCTCCTTTCAGACAGGCTACGTTTAGCGGTTACGATCCTTAGCGCGATCCAGATACATATGTACGAGGCCATTGCACTGGATATCGCGCGGCTTGTTAGTTCTAAAGACATAGCGACAGATATGGCACAGCGGAAGGAGGACATTGCAGACATCCTCGACAGCAAGGCTTTCTACTTTGCACTCAACATACTCTTGTGCAGCGGTCAAGAAGGACGAGGTTCCCAGGCTATTCAAGTATCGATTGCCCCTGCGCGCAGGATGAGCACTCGAAATACGCCATTGGTATCTGGTGCCCCGCAACCGCAAGCACAGGCACAAGCACAAGCATAACCAACAGGCACCCATGCCCGACGTGCCTTTGATGCGTACATAACGCTCACTGGATTTGTCCCCTTTCGCCAACAAGAACCAGAGATGTTCCCTTCGACGGTCTCGAGGCTTGCTGTTGCGGCAGTCTACAATGCAGTGCGATTCCATTACTATGGGGCAAAGGTATATTAGATAGTGTGCAAGATATAGCCGTTATGTTCCTTGCTTTTCGGAGCACTAGTGTTGACCATTAGCTCTTCAAATTTCTTTAATAGTTTTCCGAGAACGAAGAGCGCCCCGAAGCTGTCAATCCGATTGACTACTTCTTCGAAAAGAATACCGAGAAGCGCATGTTTGCACACTTTGTCAAGGCAAAGTTTGCAGCTGGCTTCGTGTTCTTATCAGAGGCAGACCTTGTCCATTTATTCTATACAGGCGATAAGACACGGCCGATTATAGTCCGATTGCTGAGCGATATAGCAGCCCACACTGCGGAAGCCAAGATCGTCGGCAAGGAAGGGATCCTCATCGAGAAGCTGCTATACAGACTGGACCCGGCGACGCGCTTTGACGGGTATTACAGGAAGGTTTCGCTTCAGAGTGACAGACAGCACCACACAAGGTTCAAGCTTCGGGACATCATCTGCACGAACGGACTGGTGTTGCATCTTCTTGCGCATGACACAACGACAGCGCGACGCCGAGCACCCCGTCAAAGCATCAGGGGCGATGGCGACGAGGATTTGACCCTGTTCCACGATGTTGACGGTGACTATGACCTCGACGACGCGTTTCTTGAAAGTGGAGGGGACGAAACTGGCACAGATCCGGTCGCAGCAGCGGCAGGACCCGCCAAGGAGAAATGCATCACGCTCCCATCTTCGACGCCAGAAAGTTCAAAGCGGCAGAGACTGCCGATACACCAACTGCCACCCGCAGACCCTACTACGGCTGCTTCGTCCTCATCCAGCTCACAAGCCTCATCTGGTCCAACGTCGGGCGCAGATACGATCGATGTCACACGCAACACCATTAACTGGAAGCGAAGTTCAAAGATTCTAAAAAAGGTGGAGGTGCGCTTCAACTCTCCTGGTACTTGTCCACCTGGCGATACTGTGGTCATCGGTATTGACCCGGGTGAGGTTTACACAATGACAGCGACAAGAATTGACCCCGCCTTACCTACGAAAAGAGAATCTTTACGAATCCGCAGGGCATTCCTCTACAGGCCTTACATGCTCTTCAAGCGTCCCCTAGAAAAGCAGAAAGCCGCAGCACACATTGATGTTCTTGAGGCAAGACTGCCCTCATTTGCCGCGGAGAAGATCGAGGAATATCTGGAGGCGTCTGGCACGGATGGCACCGCCGCGCCCACCACGAGAGTCCACCTTTTTAGCTTTTACAACAGTCAGTGGATGCTAAGGAAGCGCTGGGATCTTCAAAAGGCTCAACAGGCAATGTATGACTACGCAGCTGCGGCCTTGCTTGACCTTGCCGTTAGCAAGGACTTTGTTGGCCAGCCGCTGAGCTCGCAGGATGGTGTAAAAGTGGTGTTTGCGATAAGATTGGGCTCTTTTGATTCGCAAACTGGCCTGCCAAGCAAGCATAGCGCACTCGAGAAAAAATTTGTCGGCAAGGTAAGAAGAAAAAAAAAAAGGGCGGTATACCATCTCTCATCCGCACTGCAACTTTTTCTCATCTGTTTATTTGTTCCTTGACGCTGCTGATAGGCAAAGGCTATGGGACACACTATGGTCGGGGTGCACGAGTACTACGCCAGTGCTCGATGCCCTCGTGACCAGTGTATGGCATTCTTGGAGTCCGACAAGAGGCGGTCAAAGTACTGCCGAAGCTGTCAAATGTACTTTGATCGCGATATTGTCGGTTCTGAGAACATTGCCACCGTGTGTCTGTTGTAGATCCAGAACCAGTGCCGGCCTGCCAAGTTCATGCCATCAACATAATCATAGGGGGTCGGAGCCTTCTTTTAAAATTTGTAAGTTCAACATGCAAAAATGGCGTGCATGAACATCCAACCTATTCTGAATTCTAACCAGTAGACATATACCGTAGTCGTATGTTCACCAGAGTCTGTATCTCAACACATTCTTCAACTGCAAGGTCACGCACAGGCCAATATAAGTGAGCATTTGCGCGTCGTGCTCTCCAACCCTTTTGGCTCTATTAGGGGGTTTCAAACCCTGACATTTTGCGGCGCGTAATAAATTTTTTGTGGGCACGTGGCGCGTTTGTGACCAAAACGCGTTTGCAAAACACATCACCTCGGGAGCGTCCCTCATTTTACATTAGTTTAGTGGGGGCCTTTTGTTAGCTATCTTTCGGTAACTATCGGCCGGCTGGCAGTCCAAGCCGAGGCTTGGACAATGCAGCCTGTGGCACGCCTGCGCGTCTGGGGGGATCTGGCGTCAATAAAAAAAAAAAAACACATCACCTCGGGAGCTAAAAATGATGGGCACAATCAAGACGAGCGAAGTCAACTATCAACCCGATCCCCATGCCATTCAAGTTAGAACACTAACAGCTACTATCCGACCTGGAGCAGCTCATCATTCTCACGATCCTCAGCGATGACGATGAAGTAACAGAGGATGCAATCGCAAAGCTGAAAAATCAGAAGAGCACGCGCATACTATTTGTGGGCAAATGCGCCGCAGAGGCAAATGAAATCTGCCATAGTGACGAGGTTTGAAAGGGCGGGTTATATGGCGCGTTTGTGTGCTGCATGTTTGACTAATGAGTACGCGTTTGATTTTCGAATGTCAAAGTTTGAAGTCCCCTAATCGTTGCAGCCACCCTCCGCATCTTCATCCCCTCCGTCTTCTATTCTAGTGCTGAAGTAGCCCCATTATTTCTAAACAGCCTCCATACTCCACACTCTCTGTCCTCATTGGATTCGTAAAGGCGACAACCATTTCATCATGCGCAACCAATGTCAATATAGCACAGCACAATTCTACAGTCGTGGAATAGACCGCAGTTTAAGGACAACCGGTTACCTCCTCTTCCTTTCCGCCCTCTCCTCTTTCACCGTCTTTTGCTCCTTCTCGCATTCCACTCCCTTCTGTAATCCGCCTTTGTCCAGCTTTGCATCCAATAAGGCGTATACTGCTTACAAGGACTCGAAAGTCAAGAGCGAAATATGAGGCTAGTGGACAGCAGATTATGACCAAAAGCATTAAAGAAGCTAGAGTTCAGGTACTCGAAAAGGTTATGAAGACCCAATAAAAACTCGTGTGGTCCAGCGATAGTGGGTCGGCTTCGCCATGCGAAGACAAGATGAAGCGCATTTAAACTGGAAGAAAGAGCATAGTGATCGACAATTCAAAATAATAACGCGCGTATGACAGAGCTCATGTGTACCAGTAGGAAGCCGATGAGTCTTTCAATCAATGGCAACGAGAAATTAGGGCGAACCAGATGAAAGCACGTCAAGTATTGATGAAATTGCAAAGGGTGAACTGCAAACCTGCGCGGGAGCAGTGTCAGAAGTAGTCATTGCAGCATTGAGTACTTAGTACAATCATCCTCTTCACAACTGCAACAAAAAAAACGATATGTGGGACACGGTGCCTGACCACCTCCATGTTGTGCGCCCTGAAAATCCAGGTGTAACGACCTAAACTGCCGAAGAGTTTTACAACCGGTCAAGTGGGCCAGTAAACGAACAAGCAAGCAGCCAAGCAGCAATGTGTCACTATGACTGAAGGACGGCAGGATCGATAGGACCGGTTGAATAAGCACTACATTATAAAATAAATCCATATCTGCTGTCAGGATTGAAAGCCCTCAAAATGAATACTGGTAATGTGATGAGAGGACAAGATGATGAAATGAGGGAATTAAAGTAGCTGCAGCACGACAACGAAAGATATCGTGGAGTGTATTTGTATCATTGGTTGCGCCCAAATGAAAAGTACTCACGACTACGGCGACAGTATCTCTTTTATGATCATAGCAGCGCAAGCAACCGTTCGACAGACCTGAGCAAACGCGCTGACCTGCTATTCCTTACAACTTCTAACACGATTTATGCCACGACTTTCACGATACGAGCATTCGCTGAGCCATTATTCTGTTTTGCTTGCAAAGGCGCTGGATGACAAAGAGGACGCGTCTTGGTGATTGTGTGCCTGAGATTGTCTGCTCGCTGAGTTGAGCTCAATAAGAAATAAGGATATTTACGACACGTCCCCTTTTGCTATAGTTACAAAGAGCGCGTCAAGGATTGCCTACAATGTGGGGTGCAGAGTGCTTGAAGTCGACACGCATGCTGCTCGTTTCAATCCATGTCGAGAGGGAATGGTATCGCGTGTGCGCTTCGAAACCCATCAGAACTAGCAAATAAAGAAGAAAGAGGGCGCGAGGGCATGGGGGCGGCGTTCAGCTGCGGTAACCATCGAAGGCTCATACCTTATGAGCATTGATGAACATTGAGTGAGTGAGCCTTGCTTTCTTGCGGTAATCATCAAAGAAAGCCAGCAAATATCTTTGGCTGATCTTTTTATTTATCTCACTGAGAAAACACTCTTTCTTTTCCTACCTACGATCACTCATACTTCCATTTCCTTTGAACTTCTTCACTTCGGCGACATGGACTACTCTTCGCACTCCTCACCCTCACAAACGCCCCGCGGCAACCCACATACTCTCAGTCCCATCTGCTACGAGTCCTTCTCGGCAGAATCCACAGATGGGCGGCTCCCGCATACAACAGGCCCCAATGGCCGGTCTCCTCACACCACGAGTACCGATAGCCGTGGACCCCACACAACGGCCGTCTTCCCATCCGCAAATGAAGATGCCTATGCCGAATTCTGTCCAAGACAGCAGCAGCAGGAACTTCTGCAAGAGATGAGAACCAGCATCCAGACACCTTATGACACGAACACATTGGTTCCAGCACCAGCATACACACCATGCCCATACTCATACCCATATCCAGCCAATGACGGCACCACTAATCTACACATCGCCTCCCTGTCCTACCAGCAACCATATGTTCGACCCCCTTCAACTTTACAGCCATATCCAGTGCCCTCAACGACGCTATTGCAATCCAGCACCACGCTCACCAATCCTATAACAGCGATCACGCCCTCACTCCACCACCCTGAACAATTCCAAGCCGTAAACTATGGTCCCAACATTACCGGCTCATCGCCTACGACCAACAATGGTAAACCTGCCGTCGATACCGTCTATGCTTCCACGACCAGCACCAATGCCATCGCTTACGTGAAATCTCCGGGCCAGAAGCGTCGCCGAGCGTTCTGGGGATGCTGCATCTGTGTCGTCCTTATCGCCATTATCCTCGGTGTTGTATTGGGCGTGGTCGTCAAGAACAAGGACCAAAGCGAGACCGATAACTCTACATTCACTTTTGGACCCAAGACCGCATCCACCGCTAAACCTAGCCTCTCTAGCAGCACCAGCAGCAGTAGCGGCGCAACAGCAACCCCAACAACGACCTCGAGCTCAGCCTCAATCTCGATCTCGACAGCGACACAGCCCCCACCCTCACCGACTCCTGATGCAGCAACATGTATGCGCAACTGCAGCACCAAGTTTTCCAAATGCTTGGATGGATGCACGGCCGAGGAGAATGCCTGCGAGAACAAGTGTGGAGACAACTTTTCGTGCAAGGTCGACTGTGGATTTGCGAGAAGCAAATGCACCAATCCCTGTTTCTCCGCTTCTCGACTCTGTACATGTTAGACAGGCTCTCTCCTAATAAACATAAATTTGATGCGGGCTGCAAGTAGCATGTGTTGCGACAATAAATCGAATGAACCGGCATGTGGGCGTCCTCTTCCTGGGAAATTCAAAAGGCCCCGGGCGGAGATTAAACGCTTTGGAAATAACTGGATCCCCATGTTTTTCTTTTTTGTGCAACCGACATAAGAGGGCAGTGAGAGCAATCGGAGCTGTGGCGTATTGTATAGCCGATGATCATAGTTTACAGTTTGATGCCGTTTATTGATCTACCGATTGATCTACTCTTCCCTCGCAGCGATGCTTTCTTATCTAATAGTACGTTGCGCTCAGCGAGCCTGGATGTCTTTTAGTGCGATATGGCATATAGTGATGATACACCTTACTACAGAATGATCACCGGCCTTTTGCACTCTACAAATATGAAATATCGCATTCTTTGGGTCCTTCATTCTACGAAATCATTTGTATCCTATACTGCAGCATCGAAAAAAGACACTATTGATACCTCCCTCCAGGAGCAGTGAACACAGCAACTGGGACTATGGACCACAGGCGCATTCCTGGTTAACAGGTATTGAAATCAGGTGGTGATGGATCTTCACGACAAGCCAAGATGCCAAACGACCTCAAGAAGCTCGAATCTCGCATTATGTATTTTAATAATAGTAATAATAATCATAATAAAGAAAAACCAGATGCAAGTGCTTGTCGCCCTATGTTATGTTTACATGTGTAAAAAAATGTCTATGTGCCTTTTTTTAAGAAAAAGGGATGCTATGCTTTGATGGACTTTGAATGAAACAAAAGAAAAGAAAAGGAAAGAACAGAAATGCGATGGATTATGTGCAGCTGGATGTAAAAAAAGACGGAGAGCGATATTAGAGGAACGTATAGGAATGTTTAGGGCTTGTTAAAGGAACTCTTCGGGGGTGGCAAGAAGTTCAGACTGGGGCGATCCGTATTGACATTGCCAGTGATCATTCGCAGGAGCCAGGCCGGCGTGAAGCGAAGGACGATATTCCTCGCCATATCTGCCTTGAAACCCTGTTATTCACAAAATTTACAAAAAGATGAACATGGAACACGGATTGGAATGACAATACGGCACAAAGGCAGTGGAATCAAAGGTCTTCTTACCTGTTCATAAATAAGGTCGGCAAACTCTCGGGAGCTGTCCGAGGCAACTCTGGCGGTCTCGGATCGCATGTCGACATACTTTTCGAAGACGTTTGCCAGGTCCTGTACCGCGAAAGACTGCAGCTCGTTGAGCATGTTGACAAGACATGCGCAGTCAAGAATTGCCTGAGAGGCACCCTGGCCAAAGAAAGGGACGATCTAATGATGAACAAGGTACATTTGCAGTGGTTAGGAAGCTGCCGATTTTCACCGATTGTAGTCTTCAAATTACAATAAAAAAAAAAGGAAATATAAACATACCTTGTGGCAGGCTATGACACGGCAAGGATGGGCAGAAAAGAAAACGGGAGAAATAAGAGCTGTGAGTACCAAATGCACATAGTACAATGACGCATACATCCCGCGAGTAGCGCTCCCAAAACCATTATTGTGCTTACCATCGCCAACTAACACAACGCGTCCATTGTACCAGGTACGGTACATTTTTTCTTCAAGCAGCACCTTCGACACTAGTCCCTTGGGCGTGGCCTCAATCAGATCCATGACCGATCCTCCATAGGGACACTTGAAGTTACGCACGTCCTCGCAGATCTCGACCGCTGTCTCAGGGTACCAATCGCGACCTCGGGAGCTGTGGCTACCATCGCTATCATGGTCCTCGTCATTGTGGATGAGATGAGGATCAGGACCTCCGACACACCAGGCCATCCTATTGCCCTGCAAAGGAAGGATCCACATCTATGGGAGACGTACACAAACAACAAGTAAACAAACAAACAAAAGGTTTTTTTTGTTAAAGAATGAGGTGCGGTGATTCTTATGGTTAAGGTTGAGTTCTACTGGATTGATATGTGTTGCTGTGTTTGCAGTTATGGATGCTGGCACAAAACCCATGCCACTATTGCGATGACTTCTTGGCCGGAACATGGCACCTCAGCTCCTGCTCAGCATGTCAGACGAGTCGGCGTACGTCTGAGCAACGAGGGGATTTCTTTTCTTTTTTGTCAGACAAAATGACACAAAAAAAGCCGTTGGGTGGATCCCCGAGAAGAAACAAATGCACCGCACAAACACAATGATATAATGTGCGTAATGGACTGTTTTAAGCACATCCGATTACAGGTCTGGGGAACAAGTAGGACGTGCAAAAGAAAGTTCACTAAACGATGAGGGAGGCAAAGCTCACTTACAGACGTGTGCTGGTCCTTGCCAAGGAGCACCTTGACCTCACACGACTCATCCTGGAGGACCGGATACTTTGCGGGGTCCAAGGGACATGTCATTCCTAAAAATGATCGGCAAAAATACCACACCAGCATCAGTGCATCGCATAACAAGAGCAATTCAGGGTCATACGTGAACAAACAAATCGAAGCGAAACGAAACGAAACACGTTACCGACAACGCACTGCTTGTCAAAGTGCAGCGGCATCTTATCTGACTCGGGGAGGAGCCCCTGATCGGTCAGCCTCTGGTAGATGATCTGGCGAGTGGCACTGTAGGCGCCGTCGGCACCAACAACTAGATGACCGGCGTAGGTGGTCTCATCCATACAGGTCACCGTCACATCTGATTGGGTCTCGCTAATATCTATGACGCGCTTGCCGGTCGTCAGCTTCCCGGCTGGGATCTTCGACAGCAGAAATTCGTGTAGATCCGGTCTAGGGTTTGGTTTGAGTCAAGTTGTAACGGAAGCAGAGGCGATAGGGTACGACGTAGATGGACACGGCATGGTTAGAGACCTGGGGAACCCATTCAGCTGGGTCAAGAGCACTAGACAGAAAAAAACCCCTTTCTTTGATGTATTTACCTGCTCATCACCATCGCTTGGTGTCCGTTCCTGAAAAAAGGCGCCGCAAAGATCATTGATTAGCATGCAAACCTTTTTTTATTTTTATTTTTCCTGATCCTAGTTGCCTGAAATGGGTACATGGTAACTTACTTTCGCTTGTTGCTTCGGGCATCAATGCGGCCCTTTTTCCGTCCATTTGCGGAGAGGACAGTGATCCCCCGGAGGGGTTTTGACATCTTTCTCATGCCCTCGAGCAAGCCCAGTTGATCCATGATATCCACGATGACTGGGTGAAGGGAGATCGAGGTGCCGAGGGGTCGCAGCCTCGAGGCCTGTTCAAGAATGTGGTAGTCGATCCCGGCCCGGTCGAGCATGATGCCCATCACTAAGCCAGCCAGGCCACCTCCGATGATGATAACGCGCAGGTTCTGAGGTTGAGACATATCGGGAGGGGGAGGGGAGGAGGAGGGTGTGGGGAGTAGTGGGTAGTGAGAAGGTGTGAGCGTGTACAGGGGAGTGGAAGTTGAGTGTGGGATATGAGGAGAGGGATGTTTGGGCGAAGACCCTTGTGTTCAGTTACAGGATTGAGGTGGTTGTGTGTTAATTGCTAATTGACGATGGTGAAGTAAAGAGATGCTTTTTCAAAATGAGCGAAGTGGTTTGAATACAACGACGAGAAAGGGAAGGAGGAGGGGAAGAAGGAAGAGAAGTAGTGGTGGTGGTGGTAGTGGTGAGCAGCAGCGCGGGAGGAGGAGTGTGATATAAGTAAGAGTTACCAAGGAAGAAGGAAGAATGCTCTGTCATGTCTCTCTTTATGAGGATTTGAGCTGCATTATTATTGTGCATGTGTGAGTAGTTTAGGGGTGCCATCAACGGCCAAAGGGGACGATCCGCAAAGTGCCGCATGGAGAGGAGAGACAAAAACGGTAAAACGTATACGAACACTGTCCACGAATCAGAATGCGAGTGGGATTATTATTATTATCATACAAGGATAAGAGAATAAGAATAGAATGGGCATAGAATACGAGCAACATTGATGAGATGAATTCCATCTGTGTGTTATCCCCCCTGCCTCCGTTATCCCCTATTTCATACTTCCATTGGTGCTCTTTTACATGCTGCTGCTGCGAAAGTAATTATATATCGGACATGCTGCACCTCGAAATCGATTTAATGGCAGCATTAGCATATCGATCTGTGGATTTCGAATTTGCATTTGGAATTTGGATTTGGATTTGAGCCGTTGAGCCATTACAGCCATTGCAACCATTGCAGCAACCTTCTCGTTTGTATTTGTTTGACCATGTGTACCCATATCACATCATGTCTTTGTTCAAGGTTCTGGTCGGCCACGCTTGCTTGCTACACCAACGCATAATTCGAACGTCCTTTTTTTTCGCACCCAGATAAACACAGCGACCATCATGCATACATGATTTGTTATTCCATTTCATTACCACCACATCCGGATTCAGGTACAGGTACAGTTTGTTGTTTGTGTTCACCATTGCGCTTTTGCAGGGTTCGTTCGCTTTGCGAAGCGGGAATGACCACACAGTGCATGCCCCACTTTACCATGTTTACTCTCTTCACTATCTCCATCGTGTTCACCGTGTTTACTCTGTTGCCTTCACCAGGCTAGTGCAAGAAAGTGTTCCTTGACAACGTTAGTGGTGGAGTGATGCATGCTGGGCACGTCTTTTTACGCCATTTGCAATAAACGATATGTCCATGTCCATGTCCCTGTTCCTGTTCGCGTTCGTATTCCTGTCTGTGTTTAACATTTATCGATGTAAGAACAATACTGAAGATCTGCCCCAGACAATCGGTTGAAAGGGGTACCAGACAGGGAAAAAGTCTACCTGCCATCTCTGTACGCCGCTTACCCGCCTGCGATCCATCAAGGTTCTATTCAATCCTGTTCCTGTACCTGCACCTGCATCTGTTCCTGCCCCATACTCATCACCTTTACTATTCTTTACGCCGAAACTTCCTTCCTCCCCTCCCCTGTCTTCTCTATATCACCTTGGGTAAAAATGCAGCCTGTGGAAATAGATCTCGATTAAATCGGCCTGCAATGATCCAATGCAGCAGAAACTGGGGCACATAACCCAGGACTATGTACCGCACAACCTTCCCGATCCAGTCCTGCCGACTCAGCAGTTCCCCAAGCCGATGTGATCCTGCGACTGCTGCCCTGGCCTTGGCGCGCCGCTCGGTTTCGTACGAGCGGAGTCTTGCGGCCATGCCATCATTAATCCCTTGCTGAAACCAATTCAAAACTTGTGTTCCTGCCTGCGTCTGTGTCCCCTGTCCGAGTCTATGCGCATGGGCGTGGGCGTAGAGTGCGTTGGCGAGCTTGACCGCATCGTAGCCAGCTTGAGCAAACGGCTGACCGCCATATGGTAGTGCCTATCGATATTTCGATATGGAATTTTTTTTTAGGTGCCCACATTTGCCCATGGAGATACATCCATATGTACACATGGCATAGCATCAGAAAGAGAGCGAAGAAAAAAGTATAAGCGCAGATTCAATTGAAAGAAAGGTTCCATGTCGGAGATTTGGGCTTTTGTTTAATCAAGGGGAGGAGCCATGGAAGAGAATGAACCTTACCTTATGACACGCTACCATCATCCATTCCCCGATCGGGTGAGCAAAAAAAAAAAAAAAACCGCGCGGGGTCAGTCTTTCTACACATTGCACACACATTTCGTACATAGTCTACAGCGCACATGTACAGTGAGCAACCTCGAAGGTATCCTCGGATAGACGCACTCATTCTTCAGAGCCAGATCTATACTCCTTACCATCACCCATGAGTGCAATCTTGCCATAGGTCCACCTTGAAAAGAAGCCCTCCTCGCGTGGGATCGACAGCATGGTCCCCTCGGGCGTCCATTCAAACAATTCGCCCAATAGCGTTCCCTCCAACGGAGACTGCATCATTCGGTGCCGATTACACGTGTCAGTGATCGTCTGTACCATGAAGCTCCAGTCCTCGACCTCTGGACAGTCATGGTACTCTGCCAAGGGCTCGTCCAGCATCCAGCACAGCCTATTCTCCGTCATGGGAACACACCATAACTAGAGAACCCGACACGAAAAACGCCCATATGAACCAATCCTGGTTAATATCCATAACAAGAACTCCTCCTCTCCTGTCCTCGGTGCCAAGATGAAAATGAAAATGAGCTGCGCATGCAATTACACGCATCATATACACCCATTTTATATGATACTCAGTTCATCGCCCACCGTGTGCTTACCGTAAAGGCATGCCCGCCCCCATCAGAGACCAGCACCCTCACCTCCGAATGCTCTTTCCGAAGCCACGCGAACCTCTCCGGGTCCAAGGGTCGAGTCATCCCCACGAGGGCCTGGGATGCAAACCTCATCGGCTCACGATCCTGCGCAGTTAGCATGTTCCGGTCTTTCAATTGCCGGTACAGACTCCGGCGCACGCTGCTGTAAGCGCCATCAGCGCCGATGATGATCCCTTCGTACGTCGACCCGTCCGTGCAGACACACGCAGCTGCTTTGGAGATATCTTCGTCATGCTCCTGGAAATGTCGAAAGGATACGTCAGCGACCTGTTTCCCGAGATGGAGTTTTGAAGGAGGGATGTGGGATATGAGAGAGTTATAGAGCTCTGGACGGGAGATCGCCAGTGCGTCGTAACCGAATCTACGAGGAAAGAAACGATTTCAAAGCAGCATTTGAGACCTCAACCATCTTTTTCCTGTTCAACTTTTTTTTTAAACTTTGGTTCGCCATTTACCTTGAACACAAGAACCCGCTCTCGATCTCACCAAGAACTTCCGGCTGCATGCCTCGCCCCTGCTCAATCGCCAAAACCGTGATACGATTGACCGGTTTGGCCAATTGCTTCAATTGATCCAAAAGACCTAACTGCCGCAGAAGCGGTTGGATTTGCGGGGTCATAAAGATCACCCCACCGCCCTCGAGCGGCATCTTTGCGACGGGCATGCTTTCGAGGATCACATAGTCTATGGACGCCCTCTCTAGTAGGATCCCGAGTAGTACTCCGCCGAGACCTGCCCCGACAATAACAACTTTCTCCATGGACATATGTTTTGGTTGAAGTGTTGAGGGGCTTGGGGGGGTGATGATGAATGGTGGAGAGGATGAATGAGTGAGCGTGCTCGATGGATGCGATGGTGATGTTGCTCATGTGTGAATTTTTTTTCGTCGTCGTCGTCGCAAAGTCTTTGTTGTGCAAATCAATTAAACGCTCGCGCAATCGCGTGTTCTACAGCTCCTTTTCGTCTTCAGCTACTTCGCACCCACCCCATCTCCTCCACAGGAAATCTCTTTCAATACACGTTTCGCGAGCTGCAAACAGCAGCTGTTACAGAAACCAAAAAACGCGCTGTTTTTTTTATTTCTTATCTAGATCGCCTTTATCATATATAAAAATATAAACTCGTCTAGTTCCTATCCAGCTCTAGACCGGCGCGGCACAAGACGCTTTGCCAGATCCTGCTTCACCAGGTCCTGCAGCATAAACGGTGTCCTCGAGTTCACAATCACCGTGCCTGAACTCGCACTCGACGACAACGGGGCACTAATCACCGCCCCCGCCATCGTCGTCGTCATCGCCTTCTTCTTCGACCCCTGTCGAAACAGTTGCTTAATGAACCCCAATCCGTCTCTCGAGTGCTCCCCCTTCGCATCATCATCCCGCAAGAACATTTTCTGCCGCTCCTCGTACTGCTGGTACTCGATCAGTTTCTGGTTCTTCCCGCTCGCTGTCGATGAAGACGAAACAGAAGATCCTGACCCTGAAATTACAAAACTCACACTCGATGGCAGCGTCGGCTGTGGTTTCGTCGTCAGGGCCGATGAATGATACGGCGATATCGATAGCTGTGTCATCGCCCGCGGATACGACATCTCCTGTTGCTCCTGCCGCTGTCTTTGCTGCTGTTCCTCCTCAGCCGACTGGGTATAGGGTGGTGGTGGCAGCGAACGCGTATATTTCGATGACACCGGGACTACTGGTGGTGCCGTCGCCAGATAGAGTTGCTCCTCTTCTTGACCCAGTGACAAACACCCAGTCGACTTCTCGGGTGGGTATGCTTCCGATCCCGATCTTAATAGTGCGGACGAATTATTTGAAGGCGAGGGCGAAAGCAAAGGGAAGGGTGCAAGTGGTCCTGCCGCTGCAATCGCAATTGGTGCAGAGCAGTATGGCTTCGTCGTCGGTGGCAGCGGAAAATCCGATGAAACTGGGTCATGGTTAATTGGTCCCACATATGTTGATGTCGATCCTTCTCCTCTTGATACCGCTATCAGCTGTTGCTGCAGAGTCTGCAGTGGTTCCGACTTAGGGTATCGACTCGATCGACAGACCGGAACAGGATAACCTCTTTCATTACTATTAATGCTGCTGCTGCTGCCTGTGCTCGCACTACTGCTCTGCGGTTGGTTGATGCCGGTTGGATAATTGTGAATATGGATATGAATATGATTATGAATATGCGTCTGAGATTCCTGTCCCTGATCGTAGTGTCCATTGTCCTGACCATGGTTGTGCGCCTGAGAATGAGCAGAGGTATAGGCGGTAGATGGTAAAGGCACAGGTGAAAGTCGAGCCGGTTTCCCTGATGGTACCTGGCAGTACTGTTTTTGTTGAACTGTATTATCAGGTCCAGCCTGATGACGGTGATAGCCATGATTGCCGTCTTGGTTCTGTGGAGAAGAGATGTTGTTGTCGCCTTCATCGTACTCGGTTTTGCCATATCTGCTTAGACCCCATCCATTTGCGTTGTCCGGTCCCTCGGGCGTCTGATACATCTGAGGCTGATGATGACTGTTGTTCTTTCCTGCCTGTGTTCTCCAGGCTCGGTCCTGAGAAAAAGAGTTGCCCGCAGAGACTGGTGGAACAGATGACAAAGCCGAGGCGGCTGGCGCTGGCGAGCGCAAGGGCGAGTGCGATCCTGGTTTAGCCGTGTACAACGAATCCTCTGTGCTAGACAATCCGACGGACCAGTTGACATCAAAGACTGTTGAGAGGTAGGACTGTAACGCTACGGGCAGATCCATCGAGACCGGGCGCGGAAGTGGTACGTTGCTGGACCGTAGAGACTGGGGCCTCCGTCGTGAAGTGACAACCGAGGCAGCCGCTGCAGCTGCTGGCGATAGAATGGGTTCATCAGGTCCTCCTCGACCAGTGCTGTGGATGCTGTGCTCTGAGGGGCTGTAGTTGCCATGGCCATAATAATCGTATTCGCATTCCTGATTAAAATTGCATTTCACGCAAGGTTAATTATGGTGTGTTGCAGATGCGTGGCAATTGGGTATGGAACAAACTCAATGCGAGAGCTGTGTGCTGAAGTACTATAGAGTTCGCTTACCTGAGCAGAGGAGGAGGCCTCTGCCTGGCCCTCAATCCCCGCCGCAGAGAGTGTCTGCTCCATCCATTCGTCTTGGTCATCCACGGGGCTCTCCTCGATCCATTCGATCGGATGCATCTGGTAGAGTGCCGTCAGGAAGTTCTTGATCAGAATCCGTCGCTCGATCGACAGGGACCGTGAAGAGAAGATCTGGGCATTCAGTTTTAGGTTCGAGATGTGGACTAGGTGCATCGGGGTTTGAGATCCGAGACCCAGACTGGGCTGCATTAATGACGGTGGCACTGTGTCGGGGGTCATTGTGTGATGCGTCAGTATCCTTTGTGTGGGAGGGGAAGGGTTCGTGAAAGGGCGATAGTGGTGCAGCAGTGTGATGTATCGTGTCAAGCGGTCGGGGCTGTCCGGTTGAGTTGGAGGGGGTGGGTGTGTGAGGAAGCGGGAGGAAGATGCTGATGTCTGCTGAAAAAAGGAAGGAAGTGAAATGGTGGGATATGGTGGAGATAACAAAGTCGACTGTGGTTGGGTATGAGAGGGAAAAGGACAGTAAAGGGAAAGGACAGTAGAGGGAGAGGAAGGGTGCAGTTACAATTCGCGCTCGCTGTGTCTCTCGGGAGTGAAGAGCAGTGGGTTGAGAAGAGAGCGGGAGTGTGAGTGTGGTATGCCAAAGCGAGAATGAAGAAATGAAGAAATGAAGAAATGAAGAATGACGAAGGGGGATGGACTCAAAGGATCATGACTTGAATCGGTTCCTCCGTTGAAAGAGAGTGAGAGTGAGAGTGAGAGTGAAAGTGAGAGTGAGAGTGAGAGTGAGAATGGGAATGGGAGTGAGAATGAAGAGAGATGAGTGAATGTAAAGAGATGGATGGGGTCAGTTCGCTGTCTAAGGAGGAAGCAAGACGAATAAGGGTGTGCCAAATAGAAAACGGGAGTGTGAGGTGTGCGTCCAGGGGTAGGTTCATGAAGGAAGAGCTATCAGCGCCACGCCGTTGAGGAGAAACATGAAGAATGAGAGGATGCACAAAAGGTGTCTGTGCAACCAGAGATATATTGCATCTCTTTCTTTCGGGAAACCACTCAGTTGGAACCCACTCTTATTGCTCTCATCCAAACAGCTGCACCAAACCATCAACACGCATAGTCTACCTCTGTGTACTCCACACACATCCAGAGGTACACGGTCTATATCCATACATTGACATGGAGATGGACACGGAATGGGATGGAGTCAAAGACTAGGATCGACGTGGTGGAAAAAGACGCTCTTTCACTCCTTCTTCGGACATAAACACAAGCACTTACTACATAGACTAGTCCAATGCACACCACAGGAGCCAACCCATTCAACCCCTGGCGAACAGTATATACATATGTATATATGTATATACGATGACAGGAACAGCGCAGGCCGGAAGGGCCGTACTGGAGCGAGGACTGAGGTCGACACTTAGGTCGGCACTGGGTGCAGCAGTGCCTGGTAGGCTACCTGCCAGAACAAAGGCCAGAAAGAGACAGAAAAGTCGTCACATAAGATGGGGTTTTATGATATGGAATGGCACATGCGATCTTTTTATGCGATATCGTATCAAGATGCGATCTCGGAGTATCACCTCAAGGAACTCCCATAAAGGGTCTTTCTAGTCCGAACAACCCACTCCCTCTTCTTCTTTCTTCTTCTTTCTTCTTCTTTCTTCTTCTTTTTCTTCTTCACATCCCCTTCTTCCTTCGCTTTCCCCGCTCTCTTCCTAAACTGCCGCTGACGATCACTTCGCTTCCCACCATCTCAACTTCAGGACGGCCTTTGTTACTATGCTGAGGATCAACGCACACAATATCCTGAGGAGCTCCTCCTCAGCCCCAGGAATCCGCTCAAGGACAGCCTCCTTCTACAACACCTACACCAACAGCAACAGTCTGATCTACAGGAGGATGCTCGCCACAACCACCGCTTTCCTGCCCCAGAACATGATCGAAAAGATTGCCCAGCGTTATGCAGTCGATCTCGCCCCAAACCACACGGTCAAGAGTGGCGACTTTGTCACCATCCGTCCCGAACACGTCCTCACCCATGACAACACCGGTGCTGTCATCTCCAAGTAAGAAAGCCATCGCAACAGCTATTTGTTTGATGAAAACAGATCTACGATCAATCGATTGCTAACTCGCTCGATCTCTTTTGCTGGAAACATTGCCTCTCAAATAGATTCAAGAGCATCGGTGCCGCACAGTTCAAGAACCCCACTCAACCAGTCTTTGCATTGGATCATGATGTCCAGAACAAGACCGAAAAGGTGCAAACGATCGCCAACTCATTAATGCGCACAAAGAGATCCACATCTATAGATTATCATGACTAAACTCGCTTTATTACTTTCGCATGAGTACAGAACCTTACAAAGTACGCCACGATCGAGGCATTTGCAGACGAGAACAAGGTCGACTTTTACCCTGCAGGCCGCGGCATTGGACACCAGGTCATGGTCGAGGAGGGCTACGCATTCCCAGGAACTCTCACCGTTGCCTCGGACTCCCACTCCAACATGTACGGCGGCATCGGAGCCCTCGGCACACCGATCGTCAGAACCGATGCAGCCGCGATCTGGGCCACGGGCCAGACCTGGTGGCAAGTCCCACCAGTTGTCAAGGTCGAGCTTAAGAACAAGCTGGCCCCCGGTGTCACCGGAAAGGACGTCATCATCACCCTCTGCTCCGTCTTCAACAAGGACGAGGTCCTCAACACCGCCATCGAATTCACAGGCGAAGGTGTCAAATCCCTCGGAATCGAGGACCGACTCGCCATCGCCAACATGACCACGGAATGGGGCGCTCTTGCAGGTGTCTTCCCCATCGACGAGGAGACCCGCGCCTATTATGAAAAGCGCATCAAGGTTCTGGAGCGCACACGGTTTACGAACAAGAACCTGAAGAAGGTCCCTGTTGGCCAGGAGTTTGTTCACCCTCGCGTCAACGGGGAGAGGATCGAACAGGTTCTGAAGAATGAGGTCGCCCCTGACGAAGGTGCATTCTATCACAAGCACCTGACCCTCGATCTGGCCACGGTTTCCCCGTACATCTCTGGACCCAACTCTGTCAAGGTTGCGCAGTCAGTCCAGGACCTAAAGGATGTCAAGATCAACAAGGCCTATCTGGTCTCTTGTGTCAACTCGCGCGCAAGTGACCTGCGCCAGGCTGCAGCTGTCGTGCGCGGAAAGAAGATTGCAGACGGAGTTCAATTCTACGTTGCTGCTGCCAGTAGCGAAGTTCAGGCCGAGGTTGAGCAAACCGGCGATTGGCAAGCTCTCATGGACGCCGGTGCCACCCCCCTGCCCGCCGGCTGTGGACCATGTGTTGGTAAGAGTTGAGAATGAGTCGTCTCTCTGGCTAAACAAGCACCATTTTGTCGCATCGAAGCACCCTCTGACTCTCTTTCTCTTGCTACTTCTTTGCTTTGGCGAATTAGGTCTGGGTACAGGACTATTGGAGGATGGTGAGATTGGTATTTCTGCCACGAACCGCAACTTCAAGGGCCGTATGGGTTCTCCCAAGGCCCTCGCCTACCTTGCTTCTCCAGCCGTCGTTGCTGCCTCAGCTATCTCGGGCAAGATTGTCTCTCCTGGATCCATGACCCTTGGCTCTGTGCTGACCCCTGTTACCAGCATCACTACGGCTCAGGGCGGTCAGACCCAGTCCTCTGACGATAATGCAGCCTCGGACGAGACAATCCCCAACTTTCCTTCCCAGATGACTGGCGAGCTCTTGTTCTGCCCCGCCGACAACCTGAACACAGATGGTATCTATCCCGGCAAGTACACATACCAGGACGACATCGGACCTGAGACCATGCGCAAGGTCGTGATGGAGAACTACGACACCAACTTTGCTAGCATTGTCCGTCCCAGCGACATCCTGATCGGAGGATTCAACTTTGGCACAGGATCAAGTCGTGAGCAGGCTGCGACCGCACTGCTGTCTGCAGGCATCAAGCTGTTGATCGCAGGATCGTTCTCGGAGACATTCAAGCGCAACTCGATTAACAATGGACTCTTGCTGATGGAGAGTCCAGAGTTGGTCCACGACCTGGCCAAAGAGCGTGGGAAGGACCAGTTGACGGATCGCACGGGCTGGAAGGCGACTGTGTCTTTGGCGAGCGGCAAGGTCGTTGTGAGTCGTGAGGGAAAGGAGGATCGCATGTATAGGGTTGGCGGTTTGGGCAAGAGTATCCAGGAGCTGTGGGTCGCCGGTGGTCTGGAAGGCTGGGTTAAGGAGCGTATCCGCCAGGGCTGATTATATTTTATAGTATCCATATCTAACCCATGCATTCATTCATTATCTAAATTATCTAATAAACACGTTTCCATGTATTCTATGCCATGTCCCCTCGCAATTATCATTTTTACTGCCTACCTGCACAGTAGTAAGATTCCATGGTGAAGAGAATGCCATCGTCAACACTATTCGAGATGGATAGGAAAATTGCTATTGATAATCCACCAAAGAGTAAGCTATGCGTTATGTCGCAGCTTCAGTTTGGTCCGCTGTCCATAGGGAGTGGGTGCTCCTACTTGTGAAGAGAGTATAAGCAACAAGACCTTGTTGGTTTCACTCAGCCCGCCCAATCACGACCCTTGTTTCTTCTGCTTGCAGTGTATAGAAAATATCCAAAGGAGCCAGGATGGCTACTCCATGGTTGTCGTATGGTTATCGATATCCCGTCAGCGTACTTCTTCATAGGACAAGTCTTCCTGATAACAATGGGACGAATATTCCATTCGCCTGAATATTACCCCGACAGCGGAGTACACCTCAGGAACGTGCTCCTTGGTCCCTGCCTGGTGCTCCATCCTTATTGGTCAATTGGTCTATTACTACACCTTCTCCCCTTCCTTCTCCCCTCCTTCTCATCATCACCATCTTCATCCTTCGCACTCGTCCTCTGACCTTTCTTCTCTACAGCCAATCAAGACACCCTCTCTCCAGGCATCTAGACACCTTCTTTCATTCCATCAGCATCAAGACAAATACACAGCCATGTCCTCGGTAGGTCAAGCAGAGGTCTTGCCTCTGCACAGACACGGACATCCAGCAAGCGGATCCATAGCACAATGGACAAGCACACTGCGCTCGTACCTCCGAAACCTCACCCGGCGGATCTCGCCCTCGCGTGCCATCCTCGCCTTCCTCTCAATTGTTGCCTTCTATGTCGTCGCCAACTCGCTCTCGTCCTCGTCCGATTCAAAATCATCCAGCGGGAACAGGAGTGGCAGCAATTTCAGCAACAACAATGAAGATCCGTCTATGCTAGGGCTGTCATTGAAGGAGAGAAAGATCCAGCAGGAACGGGAGCGGATGATGCTCGAGTGGGACTCGCGCGCCAACTACCGGACAGATCTCTCAGAAGTCGGACCCGGCCGCATCAGCTCATACCCAGCCAGTCTCTTCAATTCCTTGTCATCATCAGATCAACCCTCGACATCAAAGTACGTTCCTGTCACGGCCGTGATCCTCTCCTGGAAGCGCAAGGAGGGCACGAAGGCGGTCGTCGCCCACCTGCGACGATACCCCTTCATCCAAGAGATCCTTATCTGGAACAACAACCCCGAGATCGAACTCTATGCCGCCGACTTTGCGGATCACGACAGCAACCTCAACACGACCAAGAACGTCTGGCCATCCGTAACCGTCTTCAACTCGGTCGCGAACCTCCACGACTTCTCAAAGTACACGACCTGCTCTCTCGCCAAGTATGACTACTGCTATCTCCAGGACGACGACTGGATCAACCTCTCGCTCGACTCGCTCTACACCGTCTTTGTGGACCAACCCGAGAGTCTCGTCACCAGCACCGTCCCGGCCATGTACGCACAGCAACGGACCTGGATGTTCCAGAACCCACAGTTTGATCTCCACACAGGATTCTCTTGGCTCGGCGCTGGCTCGTTCATGCCTAAGAAGGCCATTTTCAAGTTTCTAATGCAACTTGGTGGAAGCAATCTGTGGAAGGAGCGTGTTCAGCTCTCGGATCTGTTCTTCTCGCTATGGAGGAACCAGTATCCCGTCGTTCTCAGTCATGCTCTTGCACCACTAGATCAGAGTTCGAGCTGGAGTGGCAGGATCGATCAATGGAGCGTCGTCTATGAGCACATGGTATGAAGCGCGAGCGAGCCTCTGTTGCTCTCAAATGCTTGGACGCTATACTAACTGACCTTTTTTTTGAAATCGGTATTTTTTTTTTCTGGCCTTTTGGAATAGACGGATGCGATGGTCCGTATCACCACGGTATTGTCTGGACTGGGATTGGTACAGGGATCGCCTCACCGAGCCGGGGCCAAGGCTGACTTTGCTGCAGAGGAAGAAAAACCACTCTTCAAGGATCGCCACACCAGGTCAGTCTCCTTGACCTCTTTCTCGCACTGTTACTCTCGCGGTCGGGGAGGCAGCTATTGAGCACTCAATATCTAATCATTACTCTTGGATCGTTATTTTTTATTATTTTATACAGGTCGAGCTGTACAAACGACAAGTGCCTGTTCCAGACAGATGTGGACATGTTCCCAGCACCGGACTCGGTCAAATGGCCGGCAGATCCTTACGGCCGGGACATCCACGCACATGAGGCCCGCTTCAGAGCGTTGGACTACCCAAGCGCCGAATTCGTGGCCATGCATACCTATCACTACGCAGTTGATCAGGATCTCTCGACCTGCTGGCGCAGCTACCTTGCCCTGGGCAAGAGTAATTACTTTGGCGTACAGTTTGTGCTTCCAGTCCTCGACTTGGGCGTGAACACCAAGTCGATTGAAATCTGGTCGACCCTGGCCTCGACACTTCAGGTTCTCCAAAACAGTGTGGTCATTAAGGCCAGTGTCGATGGCGATGCATGGGTAAGTGGTTGCTTTTTGTCCCTTTTCTCGCTTATGTGATTCGATTTTGAATGCGAACTTGACGCGTTTGTGAATGCTGTACTATCTTAGATGACATGTTCAGGAGAGGCGGAACGGACACAGGGTTCGGTACGGTTTACGGATGTAAATTGCGCGGATGAGGGAAAGAAGGTCGGACTCCAGCTAGATACGCGGGGGATCCAGTTTCTTCGTTTCGAGGTGATCGAAAAGGCCGCCTCGCCGATCGAAATTTGCGGCATGCGCATCGGGGATATGTTGCTGTAGTTGCTGCATACAGATCACCATGCTCCACCGCCCTCACTCATCCTCACTCACCTTCTATACATACATCCGACCACATCTGCCATCTTAAGAGAATCTCCAACAGTGCATTGGAAATATATATACTATATAATATAGACAACAATCGCGGACAATGTGATATGATGCTTTAGTTCGATTTTAAATACAACTAGTTAGAAAGTCAAATATTATGTACATAGACTACAAACTACGGCTGGTTTCTAGTCACTCATCTGTCAAGTTTTTTGTTTCCTAGAATGAAGAGAAAAAAACGGCGATGGTGGCACCGACGGTCGAGAGTACGGTCAAGACCTGGACAACATTCAGACTGGGTCCATGGTTGGAGAAGCTACTGATAGAAGGCGAGCCATTGACCTGACCCGGGTGAGTCAAGTTGTCGTTGGTACCATCGTTACCATTGTTGTTGTTTTCGCCGTCTCCATCGTCTCCACCATTTGAGCCATTGTTGTTGTTATTATTATTGCTGTTGCTATTGTTGTCATTGTTGTTGTTGCTGCTGCTGCTGCTGTCGTTGTTGTTGTCGTTGTTGTTGTTGTTGTTGTTGTTGTTGTTGTTGTTGTTGTTGTTGTTGCTATTATTATTATTATTACTACTATTGCCAAGGCCGATGACACCGGCACCATTGAAGGCCAGGAGGTTCGTGCTCGAAGGGCCCTTAAAATTCCTGACGACATTCCTGGTACCGAGCTGCAAGATCTTGTTCCCAATATTTCTGGGTGACCACGAGCCATCGGCACGATCGCCACGCTCGGCGGCCATGATCAACGCCGCAATGCCCGCGACGTTTGGGGCTGAGAAGGAGGTGCCGCTATCGGTATAGACTTCTCTGTTCGTGGGTCCGATCCAGGTCGATCGAACACGCTCACCGGGCGCGTAGATATTCACGCAGGATCCGTAATTCGAAAATGACGACATCTGGTCATTAATATTCGTCGACCCGACCGTGAAGGCCGTCGGAGTCGAGGCCGGAGAATAATTGCATGCGTTCTGGCCTATGTTCTTCTCATTCCCGTTCCCGGCGGCCGCGATAATAAACATCCCGGACTGGACCAAGGTATCGACGGCAGAGTTCAAGACCTTGGAATAACCTGCTCCAAGGGAGAGGTTGACGACGTTTCGATGGTTTGGGGATTGGGCGTTCTGTTTGATGACCCAGTCCAGTGCCGCGAGGATCTGGGAGAGGGTGCTGGTGCCCTCACGGTTGAGACCCTTGACGGCGATGAGGTTCACCTTCTTGGCGACGCCGAAGGTTCGGGAACCGATCACGCCTGCGACGAAGGTGCCGTGGCCGTTGTCGTCGGTGTTGGGCGCCCCCGGGACGGTGTTCGTGCCCCAGCGCGCACGGCCCTCGAAATCAACGTGGTTGATGTTGATGCCCGTGTCGATCACGTAGACATCCACGCCCGTGCCCGCTGAGGTCGGGTAGTTGTAGTCAGTGACTAGCGGCAGTTTGCGCTGCGAGACCCTAGACAGGCCCTGTGAAGAATGAAGGTGGGGAAGGTTGGTAAGGTGATATGATATATACTGAACCAGCTCTTTTTTTTTTTTTTGTCTCAGTGCCAGTTTTTCGCACAATTCTAACACACAGCCTGCGATGGGGCCACCAATGAAACTTACCCAGCTGGGTGCGTGCTGCTGGATCATGTACGCACCGCTCGGTCCCGGAAGATCGCTTGCCGTCACCGGGGACACATACTCCTTGGCCTCATGAGTCTTCTTGCCACTCTCATGGGGCGGCGTACCATCCTTGCCCTGCCCGCCCTCGTCCTCGCTCTCGTCCTGTTCATCGTCCGTTGAGTGCGGGATACTGACCTCATCCTCCACAAGCTCCTTCCTCTTGATCTTACTCCCAGTCTTGAGTCCGATCTCCTGTGGGCCCAGCTGCTCAAATGCCTGTTCGAGTGTCAAGGTTCTGGCTGTCACATTTGCATACCTCTCGAGCTCCGCGAACCGGATCTCGATATCCTTCTCCATTAACTCCACACCGACATCATCCACCAACAACTCAGCCTCCTCCTCCGAAAAATCTCCATGCCACACATGGAACTGAGAGTCGTCAAACGTGAACCAACGTCCCTTTGACTTGATCTCCATCTTAGCTCCTTGCTGCTGCTGCTGTTGCGCTCCTTCTTCGCTTTTGGTCTCAGAGGTCTCAACCTGGGCCTTGGATTTGCCATGGTGGGCTTTGTGATGTGGTTCCGCTAGGGCCTTGGCCTGGGAGAGCGACAGGACCGTAAGCGAGAGCTCCTTGGCATCGTAATCGAATTTTGGGTGCGCACTATTATCCTGAGAATGGATGGATTGGATCCGAGAGACACCTTCGGGGGAACTGGTAGTGGTGGTGGAGATGGGGCCTTCCTTGAAGCGGACGAGGTAGTCGGCTGCATGGGTAAAGGGGACGAGCAGGAGGGGGAGTGGCAAGAGGCAGGCGACTTTCATTGCTGCGAAGGGAAGGGAAGGGTGGAAGGAGGGAAGGGTGTGTGTGAAGGATGGACTGTTGAGGGTAGTTTATTTCTGCTGGGATATTTGCTTAGCCTGGGCGTGAGTGGTAGATTAAAAGGAGGAGGAGAAAATAGAAGAAGAGGAGTCAAGAGAATGAAAGTGGATCGGACGGAGGGAGAGACACTGCCGTTAATGTCATACATAATGAGACGTTTAACAGTATTTTTTCCTCCTTAGAAACCTGGTCTGCAAGCTGTCCTCCTCACCTCTTTTCTCCTCCCTTTCTCTTTTTCATTTTTTCTGTCTTTGTTCTGTTCGAAATTCCAACACACACGGGACCAGAGATCCGAAAAGGATGAAAATGAAAACATGAAGTGCTGCAGCGGATCTGCGTGGGGCAAAAGAGGGGGACAATGGTCAAACCACGCTCCCTTTCTTTTCGTGGACGAAACAAAACGAAAGAGTCTTTTGTATGAATGTCTGCAGTGTGGGAGTGAGAGATGGATCACAGCAAGAATAATTTATGTGTGGTGCATGGCTGCTTAATTCAGCATATCATATCCTGCATCCACGTTTCCATTAGTCCTTGGATGCAGAGGATGCGTTGCGCAGATGCACGGGTAGGATGGACATCATCTACGGGTGGCCGTTCATCGATCGACGTCCTGTACTCTCTCTTCCTCCCCATGTGAACAGGGACAATGAGATTGTACGCCGCTCTCCAGAAGGTGTGTCACCATGTATCCATTCATCTGTACTCATTTGCATGCAAATCCCTCTCTTGTGCTAATCTCACTTTTTCTCACCTTTGTTTACCTGGATAGGACTCCCATAAATACTTCTGCAATAAGAGTTCTTCCCTCTTCTTCTTATCTCTATAACACCCTTCCTCCTTCGTCACCAATGTCCACGGAGCAGGAAAAAGAACACAAATTTGATCGCGAGACAGCAACAGCCATGGGACCGTACCTAGTCTCAGAGGATCCGCCTCACTACCTCTCCGCCGTCGATCTCAGCGACATTCCCGAGATGGTCAGGGTTCTCAACATCAATAAAGATATCTACAATGGCACTGCTACCTTCCAATATCCCTACCTCGAATCCCATGCCCACGCCCGCATCTCCCGCGCCGTTGACTATACCACCCAACGTGGCTACAACACCCATTGGGCCATGCGCACCTCTCCTGATGGACCTCTCATAGGCTGGGTCCACGCCTATATCCTTCCGGACCCCCAAGAAGTCCACCCCGAAACCGGTCGAGAACTCAAGGTCGCCGAGATCGGGTACTGGGTCAGTCCCGAGTATGTCGGCAAAGGATACGCAGTTCGTTCTGCAAAGTTCGTGACCCACGAGATCTTGTTCAAGGAGTTTGGATGCGATATCGTGCGTGCGGAGGCCTATGTCGAGAACCGGTCAAGTCGAAAGATCATGGAGGCGACGGGGATGCGATGTGAGGTCGAGGCCACAACGGCGTTTATCCCAAAGTTGCAGCAGCATCGCATTGTTTGTTGTTATGCGGTTCATAGAGATCAATCCACGTACAGTGTTGTCTCCAAAGGACATTCATGAATGACAATAGTAGATAAGATTGATACAATACATAACATAGCGCGCATTCTTTTGTTATTATTATTATGAGTGGTAAGTACAATACATATACAAGGCATGGAGGAAAAAGCCTAGGTTAACAACCAGTCGTCCCTAGTTCTTCCGCCTTGGACGCTTGGGGAGGCTGGTCAACCGAAGAGCCTTGCACAACTCGCGATCGTGTGCCGTCGCCAGTCTCACGTTCTTCAAATTGACCGCCTTTGCCGACTTTGACAGCTCATGTTCCGTCATATCCATATACACCTCTTCCTCATCGCTCTTTTCTTCCTCGGATCCGCCCTCGACCACATCATAAAGCGAAGGCGCAGTTGCAGTCGAAGTCTTGGGTCTCCGATGCTGTGAAGAGGGACCTTGACGCTGTTTCTTCGAGACTTTGACAACCCAGGTATCTGGCCGTGCAGATACCGCGATGGAGCTGTTGATGCTCGCTGCCGTCATGGTCTTGGAAATGTTTGTGAATCCGTCGCTGAGGGCCGAGACTGTGAGGGGGGCGAGGTGGCTAGCAGAGACGTCGATGTAGATCTCATCATTGACCATGTCGTCGTCGTCGTCATCGGAGGCGTAGGTCGAGTTGACGACGGACCAAGAGGAGACACTGAGTCGGTCGAAATCGTCGTCGCTCATGGCCCGAATGAGAAGGGCCTTTGAGGCGGTGTAGACATGGCAGATGTCGGTGGTTGAGTCTTGCTGCTCTGGTTCGAGGAGGACAGAGTACGGGTTGCGCAGCTCGAGTGGGTTATGGGGGAGGATGATCGACATGGATGTGGGTCGTTTGTGGTGAGTGAATGTGTATTTTGAAGGTGGGAAGTGGTTGTTGGTGTGTAATCGAGGATGCGGGGAAAGGGATGTGTTATTTATGTCTCTGACGAGTGGGCGCAGTAGTTGGTGTGGGGCACCATCCATTATGTCAGATATTTAATTAGGATCATGGCCGCGTAGACTAGTAATACCTCGTGCTCCTGTCCCTTTTTTTGTCGTCATTGGATGTGTGAGGTAACATCCTGGGCCCCTTCGTCCTCCTCCTTGAACCTGAAATGTATGTGCGCCGTAGTAGTTTGTTTTCATCCTCCTCTTCCTCTTCTGCATGACGACAAAAACAAAAGCAGCTGAGTAACTGCGGCCTGGCCTGAATGAGAATGTAGGAAGTACCTTCTTCACTTTACATGCTGCAGCGCTCCTGTATTTGTACTCCACTTAAGATGCCAGGAACGGTTGAAATGACGGCACATCCACTTGAGCAGAAAGCTGCTTCCCCATCCTGGTTGTCTAGAACCCTATGGTTCTTATCATGAAAGAAGAGTTATCTCCGTTATCAAGTCTCATCTCCAAGGGTTGGGTAGTTTGCCCCCGTCCCTCACACAGACCCTTCCTGCTCTGCCGCAGCAGTGGGCTTTTCTTTCTTTTTTTTACCTACTGCGGACTGCAGACATGGCATTCATGCAAGCGCCCATATCCAACCAACGAAAATGACCAACGGAGACAAGTATTATCGCTCCATCGCTGTTTCCAATCTTTTGTTCTCTCGGTCTCGTGAATTTTATTAATGGCTTCCATCTAAGTCTATTCGGTCGTTCTGGGATAAGCCAATTCGGATACATACGAGAATCCCGGGCATTTCGAAGATGAAAGGATGGGGGGGCTTCCTGTCATTAGATCTCTGTGAGAGCGCAATGACGATATAGGCTCTCTGGAGCTACTTGACAACACCTGGGAGCTTCTTCTTGATACCCTCCCCCTGAATGTAACCGTATGAGGGAGAACAGGATAAGCCACAGAAATGACCTTTTCGGTGCACTGAACTGAAGGTGTCCCCCACACACAGCCCCAACTCGCGCGGACGGACGATCAACCAGATAACTCAAATCAACCATGGGAGACGCAGGATTCTTCAAGGTACCACAGCCAAGGACGTACATTCATCCGATCAGGATGGAAACACCAATGGAACATAGCGAATCTAATCATCACCATGGACTTGTTTTCTTTTATTCTTTTCGCAGGGCACAAGTGCCGATCAGGATGCACGTTTCAGCGACAAGCAAAAGAAACTACTTCGGTCGATGAACTTTCCATCAGAGTTTAGCCAAAAGGTACGCATCTTGACTGGGGTCTGATCTATTTTGTGGGGACAGGAGGAGCAGTTGAAGATGGACAACCTTTCTAACGTCCTTTGTCGACTAATGCTTACGTCCTGTTTTCTGAAACTAGGTGGATATGAAAAAGGTCAACATGAAAGTCATTAAGGGATGGATGGCCCAGCGCGTCAGTCAATTGCTCGGCATCGAGGACGAAGTCGTCGTAGAATACGCCTTTGGCATGCTGGAAGAACCTGTAAGTCCTAGAAACTCTTGTTCTCTTTCTGGTCGCAAAAGCATGGTACTGCCGAACATCTACCCTTCAATCTTACAAACAACTTTCTACGCATTCTCTCACTTAAAGTTACCAGACCCAAAGATGATGCAGATCAACCTCCAGGGATTCCTCGACAAGAATTCTCAGGTTTTCATGCTTGAACTCTGGAAACTCTTGCTTAGCGCACAAAACAGCCTTGGGGGAATCCCACAGCAATTCCTGGACCAGACAAAGGAAGAGCTCCTGCAGGCCAAGGTACCATCATCATGAACCAGTCTTCATCTGTCAACTAAAAGTGCCATTGTATAGAAAGCGCATGCTCACAACGCGGTTTCTTTCGTTACACTTTCATTCATAGCGTCTCAAAGAGGGCGAGTTGGCCAAGGTCAGGGAGCAGGAAGAAAAGGAGCGTGCAGTTTTGGAGGAGGTCCGAAAGAAGGCACAGGCGATCCGTGATGCTACGCGCCCCAAAGCGTCATCGTTTGAAAATTCCGCAGACGGCAAAGCGCCACTGCAGGACAGACCACGCGAAGATCGTCATTCCAAAGACTATGATTCAAGACGGGATAGACGCCGCCCTCGTTCCAGAAGCAGAGATGCACCGCCATATGATAGCGGCAGGAGACATGAAGCCAGTAGACGATATGATGACCGACGTCGAAGAGATCGCAGCAGCGATCGTCGCGATCATTATAAGCAGGATGACCATTACCAACGGACGACCAGCTCTCGTCGTCGCAGTCGCAGTCGCAGTCGCAGTCGAAGCCGTAACCGCGGCTCTCGCAGGGACTACAGTCGGGACCGAAAAAGTCATCGCCAAGAGCACTATGGACGAGAGGACAGGAGTAAGGGTCGGGACAGGGAGAATTATCAGGATCGCGACAGGGAGAATTATCAGGATCGCGACAATGCACGGAATCGTGACGAGACCAAGCGGAGACGTTTGCGTTCGACGAGCCGATCTAGGAGTCGATCCAGAAGTAAGTCTGCAGACCGATCAAGGATTGAATCCGTCAATGCAAAGTCAAGATCGACGAGCCCAGTGGAGAGGACTGCGGATAGAAATGGACGTGATCCCAAGGATAGCAAAGATGTGAAGGACAAGGCCAGGAACGCGGCTGCAGCAGAGGCAACCTCCGCTCCTGCTCCTGCTCCTGCTTCAGCTGCAGTTGATTCGAGGACATTGGAGAATGAATTGCGTGAAAAGCTACTTCGGGAACGTGTGCTCAAATCCGTCAAGGAAAAGAATGCGTCGTAAAAAGGGTCAGTCTGTAATGCAAATAAAAAAAGTGTATCCATGGCCGACAAATACTAGGGCTTTCCACAATTTTGTTATTCTGTCCGCCAACCCCTTCTCGAGCATTGCATTCTCGTTTTCCCATTTTCTTTGTTTCTTTCCCTCGTGGGCATAAATAGTGCACGAGATGACCAACCCTTTTCTAGGTCTCATCAGTACATCGAACCCTTCGCCATATAAATACTCGTGTCCTTGGGTGAGTCGCCAGCGCAGGGTCGAGTCTTCCGATATTTTTGTTTCAGAGTCGTAGTCGCTTAAATAATTAGAAGCGTCGGCATGATCTTCAATACGGAGGTTCAGCGCCTCATTTTATAATTGTCTTAATAATAGAAGACAATTCCATCTCATCTTAATTCCAGCTGGATGTCTGGGTCCAATAGCACTCAATAGTAAACTCTTTCTTTCCGCTTTAAGTCAACAGTCTAGCATGATTCGGCATTTTTGCTGCTTGTACAGTAATACTAATGCATAGACACCTTCTGTGCGCGTCTTCATGCTGAGGATCAAAATTCGTAACGGCCCAATGGCCTTGCTAGATTAAGTCATTTGGAAGGGGCCTATAATTCTTTATTGAATTTAAATAGAGGGTTCTAGTCTTGATGTATCTTCTCTACTAGTCAAAAATATAGAAAATTGTTACAGTGATATTCAAGCCGCAAGTTCAAAGTCGAGTCAACTAACTCTGAAAAAAAATTAACGAGAACCCTCAAAGACATGGGATTTATAACTGCGGTCTGAAGGAAACCTACAGGTGGGACAGAAAACAAACAGCAAGCTGCCCGCTCCGACTATGTCGCAACGGATCCATATAACATAATCAATGACCGCATGAGTCGTGAACCGATGGCCCCTGCTTCCTACGTGGTCTGTTGTGCGCGAAAGTCATCCTTTAGCCACGGTCCTCCGACATTTTAAGAGATTGACATCCTCCTAATCGCTCCATCACATCGAGTCTCAGCTGTCCCAGATAGTGCCCTTGCACCCGTTCATCTGCAGCGTCGTTGATCTCTTTCACATCGGGTACTTGTCGTTGCCTCAGGGTAGATCCCATAAAATCATTACTGCTACGTCTATGCTCTCCAACACAGTTGCGCCCCCGAGCGCGTTCGCTCACAGCAGTGATCCCATGTTCTCGTTCCCAGTCGACGGTGACTTTACGCCTTCTGTTCCAGATCTCTGTTCTGCCGGTCTCCTCAATGGCCTTCACAAAGCGGCTGATCATGTATGTTTCGATCCGTTCTGTAGTGTTAAAAACGCGTCTCCAAGACTAAGCCATGCACTTGGGTGTTAGACCGTGGTCCAGATCCTGCCGCTACCTCTCCCCGTCGTATTTCTCCCATGCCCCTGACTGTGACCTCAAGCGCGTCCCAAATTGCGTCCAACCTGGCCTTTTTGAACGTCGGTGATTTGCGTTTGCTGATGTCGCGTCCCTTCTCTTTCTCTTTCTTTGTCTCCTCTTCCCAAGTCTCCCTTGCGCTCCTCCATGCTCGTCCTCCAACTGCATTCACTTCCTCGATCGTTCCTGATCACAGTTCCTGCTGCGTCTCCATTTTTGCTGGACAGTGCCACAAATGTCGAGTATCCTCACGTTCCTGTTCACACATCCTACACACATCCGTCTGATACAGGTGCGGAAGCCAGCCCCTCATGTATGGCAGCGTAGGTAGCATGCCATGCGCTTTCTTGATCTCTCTTCCAATGGTCCGCAGGGCTGGTGAAATAGCCTTTCGGTGCGTTACAACTGTGAATGATGTCGAGTGAAGGCCGTCATTCAACCTGGCACTGCATGTCGTTGTGCTGGTTCGGTCGGAGTTCCCATAGCGTACCAGTGTGGCCTGACTTGGCCTCCTTGTCCGCTGCTTCGTTCCCTTTGTTCCCTGCGTGGCCTCTTATCTATTCCACTGTGATTTACTCTCCTGTTGAACATAGGCGTTGTGGACAGCCGCCCACCACACTACGTACGGTGACCTGAGCCTCTGTGTCTCGGTGCAATCCGACCGTCGCTTCACCAGTGCGTTAAACTGAGTGACCACAGCTGAGTTGTCGATCTTAATGGTCATTGGTTTGTCTCGTGGACTGACTAGAATGCTTGTCAGCAAACCCGCCAGCTCCGCCTTCGTTGGTGATGCGTAACCCGAGACTTTTCCCTTGATGACGCTCCGGTATGATCCTGCTGGCTTCTAGACTACCACTCCAAATGCTATACTAACCGTTCCTGTTCCTGCTTCCATCAAGGAGCCATAAGAGTACAATGTAACGGTAGCCTGACCAAAGTATTGCCCCCTCTGGTCGTAAATGTACTGGAGCGTCTCCTGTGAGAGATTAAGCCCGTTCGTGTCGATGACTGGATTTCTCTGACGTGGCAGTGGCGTCCTCCTCGGCGTCTGGCGTTTGTCCATCTCCTTTCTGGCCTCTATTCTCATGCGAATGTCAATTTCGCCTTTGCTCTCACTCTCCTTCGCTTCTCGGCTCGCTTCCGTTTCGCTTGATCCCTCTTCCTCCAGCGCCTTTCCGCGTCCTGCTGAAGTCGTCTCCGCGTCCCGTTGCGTGCCTGCACTGCCGCCCCTGCTTGATCCATGAGCTCTCGAGTTCTTCGCCGCCGGGCTATCTGTCTTGCTTGGGTCGCTTGACGTCTCCTGATTGTCATTATTTTTCCCTGAGCCTTTTGGATTCGCTGAACTTGCTTCTGCTCCTTTACTAGCCACTCTTTGTCCTTCTGTTTCTCGGCACGTTCGAACTCGACCTCCCAGCGCTCGCGTTCCACATCTCGCTGTACTGGATGGTTGCTAACGGTCCTCAAGGCGGCATCCACAAATGTTTTTTTTTTTTTTTTTTTTTTCGTTGCCGACGCTCTTCCACTGTTTCCTCCAGTCTAGGGCGTACGATGATTGATGGGGGAGGTGCAATTTGTTCGTTTGGCACCCTCTCATCGTCTTCTCCGCTTTTCACTTGAGGAGCCAGTGCTGCTTCTTCGTCTGCAATCATCGCCTCTTCGTCCTCTGTCTCGCCTTCGACAGGGCAGAGGTAGTTCTCCTCCGCACCGTCGACAGCACCATCACTCTCGTTGTCCAAGGTAGCCCGACGACCCTTGCACCACTTGTCAATATACCTATCAGTATAATGTGAATATCATTAAATCATGCAGGAGGTAGTAATGGGTCAGTGCGTTTCGAAAATCACTCCATGGAATCAGATCCGATGTATGCGAGAATAATTGATCATTGTAAAAGAGTTGTTCTCTTGACCAGCTCCCTCCAGACTTGAGCATCTGTATCTCTTATGAACCACTCTCGGGTGCTGATAGTATTGTCTGGTAACCCAAAGTCGCCTGCGAGCTGTATGTCAAACGATATGTTACGTTCCTCCATGAGTTGGCATACGTCGGAGGTAAAATTTTGTCGACGCCGTTTCACTCGTCCTGGGTCCAGAGTGGGCACAATCTCCATGACGCACCTTCGTTGCAACATCAATATCCGTGCTCGGCATGCTGTCCCTAATAGTCCCTTGTAGTTCAGTTGTAAGTAGCGTGTCGAGATCTACGCCTTAGCTTGAGCGTCTGTCAAACTTTTGACCGCATAAAGCCGATGGTGATGCATGATACTATTGGGTGTTGTTGATGGCATCTAGCATTTCATCTTCCACAGTCTCAAATATTTTCCTGTCATTCTGCGTACAGAAGTTGGCGACATAATTTGTGCTGAGATTCTGTATACCACTTTCGGGATGAGGACGTTGTTGATGGCATAAATGACTTGTCGGTCTGTCACGGCTTTCGGTTTGAGGATGCTGCAAATAGTGTCGACCTCCCGTTCCAGTGATTGTGTTGGCGTTGATGTTCCTCTTTCGTTAACCCAGACGCCGAGAATCCGCACCTCCTCGTTCTTTTCGACCGGCCTGATTTCCTCCGCGGGTGTTCCAAACATGAGGGTCTCCTGCCCTGTACGTTTGCTGTTGTGTGTAATGACTTTGGTCTTTTTGGCATTGATCTCGACTCCGCTCAAGATAAAGAAAAACGTCACTACGTCCAGGATGTCCTGCATGTTCTGTTTTGACCCAGCGAGCCATGTTGTGTCATCCACAAAAGCCAGCATTCCTATTTTCGGCATCCCTGGTGGTCCTTGCATCATATAGCCTTCCATGTTGTCCATGATTTCGCAAAGTAGTGCGTCGTATGCGACCCGCCACATTAACGGACATTCCACTCCGCCCTGATCTAGTCCGCACTATGGGTGGTATTCTTCCGTGGTCCCATACTCTGTGATGACCTTTTTGACCTTGCTTACCGCGATATTCTCGCATAGACGGATGAACGCTTCTGGAACTCGGAGCCGACGCAGGCCTCGTGATAACATGCTGTCCGGAGTGCAATTAACTGAGTCGAAGCATCTCTTCATGTCCTGGAAGGCAATTTATTGTTCCTTTTTAAATTACATAGCATCATCCATGGCAGCCTGTAAAATGTGAAATGGGTCCTTCGTGGTGGTGCCCTTGAGCGCTGAGAAGTTCGGACCCCTCAAGATGCTATGCCGGCTGAGGATCGCGCTGAGTCTGTTCGTGAGGATCGCAAACATAGTTTTTCGTGCATGTTCCAAAAGCGCAATTGGTCGAACTTCTGCCATGTTACCCGGCCATTCTGGTGCCTTTGGGATACAGTAAAGGAGCCCTGTGCTCCAGTCCTTGGGTACCTCCTCCTGAATGATAGCTGCACCTACGATCTGGAAAAGGATGTGACTTCCTAGTGGTCCTTGATGTTTCAGCATGTTGTTTGTGATCCTGGATACCCCTGGAGCCTTTAGCTTGGGTGCATCTGAGATGCATTTCGCAAGTTCTTCCTTGGTCGGTGGATCCATTATGCCGTCATACCATTTCTCCCTGATCCAGCTCCGCGGCTCGTGCTGTCTCTCCCATCTCGACCCTGGCTCCAGCGGTTTTGAAGGCCGAGGTATCCGTACCATTCATCGAACCAACCACGGACATGCTTCTTGATCTCACCCAGTTCCAGAATGTTGACTGACCTACCGTCGACTTCTCTCTGGATCCTACCGATTACCATCTTGCCGCTTCCTCGTCCCAGAATCTTATCCAACATTATCCTTGGTTGCATCGCCAGCTGACTGCACCTTTTTTCAATCAGCTGCAACAGGATTACCACTCGGTTACCAAGCTGCACGGTTACGGCACGCAGAACCAGGATGGAACCCGGCACCATGACAACACCGTCACGACACTGTACAATAGGCCACAGACACGAATATGTAGACCCCGCTTATGACCATTAAGCAGCATTCATTTATACGCATTCCTAACTGACCACTGCCCTTGATCCCTTGACTTTGCTGCTACTGCACTTAGAATAGATCAAACCAATTTTCAAAGAAACGAAATAATATCTTTCTGCTGAGCTATACGCGCGTGACTGTTGGCCTACAAAAAAGGATATGATAGTTGTATGATCGCACACTTCTTGACTAAACCTGTCTGAACTCTTGGTGTGCACTATGGTATCCGTAATCGATTGGAGCGGTTGTCTGGCACTGCTCTGATTCACTAGCAGATCGCTCACATGCCCTTGAATACTGTAAGCGCGTCTAAGAGCGTTAAATAAGACGCACCACGTTTTTGCTGTGCTACACACGCATACACGCGTTTAAGGTTCTTTAGATCCAAAGAAAGAGTAAGACAATATTCTAGAAAAGGAAGAAGTTTATATTTGAGTTATATGTATGTGGCTATTAAGTAATCTATTATAGGTTGGCCCAGGCGGATTATGAGACTAGTCTTTAAGTTCTAAGGCCAGACTTCAATTTCAAATCCTAATCTATGCGACAACGTGTTTGGCACAGACCATATAACGTATAAGTGAGACAGTCGTAAGCGTTGTACATATTACCTTATAAGTGCACAAGTCCAGGGCTTCCATTGACGCGCATTTGATTTCAGGGCGTTCTGGATACGGAGGGAACTGAATGTGGGGTAATAAAGTTTAGAGTTAAGGCTTGGATTTGCGGTGTTGCGCTTGGAGATAGTTCTTTTACAGTTGTATGGAGTAAGGAAACTCCCAATCTGAATGCTCGAATAATTTGTGTTCCACACTGAATACAAGGGCCTAACGCACAACTACGCACACTGTAGCGAGTGATCAGCACAACGGTCTTCTTGTTCAACTGGAACAAGGAACAAAAGACCCCTGGCTTCAATCCTCCTTTTATACAGGCACAACCCCAAAACCTAATACAGTCCGTGTTCGCATCCTCTGAAATTTTTCAGACGATGCGAACCTCATATGTAATCCTGCATTTTTATTGGTCAATTCTGCTTTCTGCTCTTTTTCCCTATTCATTCCTCAACCTCCGTAAAATCACAAGGGGGCAGATATCAACCGCGCTTTCTGCCTGGGATGTATGACTCGACTTTCTCTTTTTCCTCGGCCAGTTTCATTTTTTCCATTCGGCGTTTTTCACGAATCTGGGCCCGTTTTAACTGATGGTCCGCGAGTATCTTAGCCTGGATGCCGATGAACTTCTTGAAGTATGAGTTACTGGCGGCATCTGTGTAGTCTTGAGTCAACAACGAATCGGCAAGTAGGTCGATGGTGTTCACTGCGTCACTTGATGGCTGTGGAAGCATTCCCATCAGCTTGGCTGCGTCCATCAGCTTTTCGTGGATTTGGCCTCGAATAAAGTGCTCCGTTGATGAGTCCATCGTGTTCGCGGTTTTTTTGTCTTTGGAATCAGTTCCAGAATCGCAAGACGACTCTGCAAGAATGAGTCTGGCTTCAAAGCTCAAGGCTCTGGTCGACCTGAAAACGTCCTGTTTTAGGGGGGACCCTCTTTTGCTTGTCAGAAAAAGATGTGCCTTGAGTGGCGATGCAACGTAGTCCTCGTCGCTACTATCATCCTCAGGGAGGTCATCCGAATCCAAGACCAGCGACCCTGACTTTACTGCTTTGAACTTTCGTGCAAAAAACGGGTCGCCTTCGCTTTCCTTGAGGACCACCTTCTCCAAGTAGGGCATGCCATCAAGCATTTTCGAGATTAGGAAGGATAGGTGACTTGGAGTGCGCTGGCGACTTCTGCATTATGGCCAAGGCTGTCGAGTAGAATCTTTTGGTCTTTGCTGATGATTGGAACGTGGTGGAAACAGTGGCGAATAGATTCTTCCTTGACAGTGCCCCAGGCTTTAACGACATATTTCCAGCCTTCGAGGTTGTTGATTTTGGTTGGTGCCTTTTTTTTTTCGGTCCTGACGCTTTTTTTGGTGCTTTGCCTTTGGAAAATTGTGCTTGCGGCTGTTCTTCAGAATCGTCGGCATCATCGGCATCGTCGGCATCGTGGGTATCATCGGCATCGTCGACGTCATTGCAGAGGAACTTGGTTACCAGATTCACTGTAAGGAGCTCCTTGTGGCGCATTTTAAAAACAGCAATGATTCCAGCATCGAGTGGCTGCGTTACTGACGTCGAGTTCTTGGGCAGATAATCGACGGTGATGTTGGGAATGTGACCTTTACTCTTTGCAATATCCGCTGCTTTTTGATGGCAGGAGCAATTATCCACGAGCAACAGGACTTGCCGCAGGGGATCCTTTGCGACGATGTGCTTCTGGAACAGGAGGATCCAATAGTACATAGGTGGATCTTGCTCGACGGCCCCCATGTCAGTCAACAATAGTGTGCTTGATTGTGTCGGTGTTTGCGTGAAGAAATTTTCTGCGGGGTCAATGTCCGTGCGCAGCGCAGCGTGCACAGGCTGCTTTCCTTTGTCTTTTTTCACAAACAAACAAACCTCCTCATCACCTCCGTTACTGTCATAGCATGCAGAAATGGCACTAGGAGGTTTAGAAAAATTGTTTTCCTCTGCGCCAGCAGCAGCCACTCGGGCCTGGGCTTCTGCGCGTCGCCTAGCTCGGGGGTCAACAAGAGGCTCATCCTCGGACCCACTGCTGGGAGTAATAGACAAGTATGACCGAGGGATATCGTCCGATAGCACACCAGCAGCTGCATTCTCGCCAGGTTGCGTTTGAATGTTGTCGGAGTCATCAGTGTATTCGTCCGAGTTCTCTTCAACACCAGTACTCGGCGTATCGTCGACAGGTGGAACACAGGCATGGCGTCTCAGTGCGACGTACCACTGACGCTGCCGACCTTTGATGTGCAGACGCCGGCATAGCTCGTCCCAGCTTGCCAGTTCAGTACCATCTGCAGCGGTGACATCTCGCAGACGTGACACATTGTCCTTCGCGGGTTGGCGGCGACTTGCGGTACACCTTTGGTGGCAGAAGGAGGGCCACCAATGGGTTGGACGCAGTAGCGGCGGATGGTTCACGGAAGGCGATCTGCCGCTTGTGCATAAGGCGACACACATGGCCGAGAAAGTTGTGTTTGGAGAACTGGGCTCCAATAGCAGGGACTTGACACGGCGGAATCGGCAAGCGGCACTTAGCCTGGTGTGCATCTGATCTAGCGGTCATGACTTGACCCACCAGACCTGGGTCGCTGAATCGTAGCAACGCAGTGATATCTGCTCTTCCTCTTGCACATCTCCAAGTGCCGGAGCCTAAAGCCGACAATGAAAAAGGATGCTGTTAGGCGTGCCTTTCGCCAGACCCACCTTCTGTCGAACCGTCCCGGTATACTGACCGATGGTCCTGATAATCTCTTGGTCAGTAAGAATGGTTGTCGCGAGGCAGTACAGAATGCGAAGGATGAGCATGTTATTAGCGATGAAAATTGCCTGTTTATCTGTAATAGCTCTCCTGGCCAGCAGAGAGTAAATGGACTTAATTTCCTGTTGTATCAGCTGGCGAGTGTGGGCGCCCTTGCCGTCGGCAAAGAGCCAAGCTCCGAGCACCCGGGCAGCCGTCGCTGACGGGAGTGCCCCAATGGTGTCGCCACCAAGCATGACGCTGCGATTCTCGGAGGCGGGGTTAATGACCAGGAGTTCTATCTTTCTTGGGTTGATCTCGATAGAATTCAGTGAAAAAAAACTCCCCGCAATATCAATGATCTCTTGTAAACATTCTCAGTTAGGCGCCAGCCAAGTGGTATCGTCGACAAACG